GTGGATATATACTACAATAAGTTCACTAATGGAAAAATTACTATAGAGGTGTAATAGTTATTTTGATATTTTAGATACAGCTAATTTGTCAGAGACAAATTGAGTATCTTTTCCTCCATTTTGTGACTTTTTTCTGTTGTTAATGGTAGTGGTAATGTCATTCAATATCATTGGTACGCAGTATTTTGTAAAAATAAGGAAAATAATTTGTCCTATGAAAGAAAATGTTGGCAGATTATGAAATTATAATAGAACATGAACTTGTGCATTCTCTTTTGGGAGATTGACTTTATCTGGAGATCAGGCAATAGGAGAGACAGTTAAGAATTAAAATGTGTTTACTCGAACTAGAGAATCATGGCCATTTTAATAAAATATATTTGTATTTATATTTATGTCTCTTAATTATTAATAAAATATAAAATTTACTGTCTATATCGTTAAATAAAGATACCTATTTTCCCTTACAAATACTGAAAAGCTCTCTTTTAAACCAATCTCTTCCTTCTCATACTTCTTACTTTATTATTCTTGTGATTTAAAAACCTAGCATAATATTACCCAGTTCAGAAAGTACAAGTTCCCAAAATCAAAATTTTTTTATTACAAGTGGCATGGTAACTTGACTTCTATCAAACATAGCACAAGAGTTAATGAAGTTTGAAAGCAATTTTTTCAGATGTGGGAAAACTACACCTTGTGTGACAAGTCCAACTAGATGCTTCTTATTTGTAAATAAAGTAAATAATCATGTTTATGTGTTTTCTATGGCTGCTTTCATGCTATAGTGCCTTGCTTCTTGAATTCTTACAATAGAGACCCTCTGACCCACAAGATATAAATATTTATTAACTGGCCCATTACAAAAAATGTTTTGATGATCTCTATCCTGGAAAAGCAACTGCACTAACCCCCCTCTTTAGCAATGAATTGTGTCATTTTTTCTCTGGGTGAAATGCACGTGTCAACAAAGTCTCAGAGTCTTAAATAGCTTCTCATATTCTTAAAGACCTTAAGACAGAAGCCTTAAAAATATAAAAATATATTCACTGAGATAATGTTGTAACATAATGCTTAAGAAATAAAGCACTTTTTGTAGACTAAGTTAGTCGTGTAAATGCATTAAAGCATATATATGGCAGCTTTCTTTGTCTCTGCCTTTGTAGCCCTTCTCTGCCATAAAAGCTTTACTGCAAAAGTGATGTATCAGGTTAATGCAGTGTATCAGGATTCACCTTGCTAAATGAGTTTAGTTCAAGAAATTGAAGGAACCTCTTGGTTGTTATTGGAATATTAGGAAAACCCTAGGAATCATTGGGCCTGATACCGTCTTCCAAGACACCAATATAAAATGTATAACCAAAGAGGGCTTTCTTAGGTGGTTATTAGTCTTAAAATCAGTATGAGCTTAACTTTGTGTCTTGTGGTTAGAATTTTTGTTGATGGGAGTATAAGTTAGAGAATTCTGTTATTTCTCATGTTTTTTATCAGTATTTTGCCAGTGTGTGTTTTGTGTTTGTTTATTGCATTATTCATGTCTTTTGGTCAATGCTTTGAGTTTCTTCTTCTTAAAGTCATTATGCGGTTTTACCCATCTTTCTGCTGTCAGTCACTTCTGTATTGACCTATAGTTAATTTGAAATTCTCTTACCTCCCAAAATGGGTATGGTACCTAAATTTAATTTTAATACAGAAGTTATTTTTGAATATTAAAAATTGAGAATAACCAGGTACTTCACTTTGCGGCAGATATTGGCGGGGTGGGTACCCCTGGTAGTTCTCAGGAGCTTCTGGGTTTCTCCCAATGGTGCTAGGGGTAGAAAGAGCCCGATTGCATGCAAGAAAAGTCCTTTATCCCTATACTGTATGTCTGGCTCCCCAGATACCTTCATTTAAAAAAAATCTTTAGGGATCTCATAGCCAGTGCAATTAATCTGAAGTTCTATCTTCCAGTCTTGTTTATTTTTTCAAAAGCCAATATTTTAAAATCCTGATATAGTCACTCAATAAGACATAATTATAAGTGGGAGTTGGATTTCAGTGTGTTCACTAGTAGACATGAGTCATATGAGGATTTAATTGTTTTGTTGATGTTCTACTTGAATATTATTTGCGACTTTCTATCATTGCAAATAATATTTAAGTTGAAGTATAATATTAATCTTAATAGAGATTAGTACTAAGATAGGGCTATCAATAAAGGCACATTTGTATTTGGACCTAAAGATTAACTGTGATTATGATTTTAATCTCAAATATATTTGAACTTGCTGCATATTGATACAGACTTAAGATAATTATAATCTTTATAATAATCTTTATTATAACCTATGTAATATACATTTTTCCCCCCTTTGTGGTTATTTTTGAAGATACCTTGAGTAGATTGCCATTAAATTTTACTAAAGTTTTACTTAAAAAGTCCTAAAGGTAATATTTCTTAATGAAATGCTTTCCTGAATTATTTGTCTTCTGAATAAAATTTGTTGTTTTTGAAGAGAATAGTTCCCAAGTGCAAAGATAAAAAGGGGCGTATCTGTTGTTATGGTATAGTTAAATTGAGTCTATTCCATGAAGCTTTAATACAATGTTAGTTTGTTCTCGTGTATATTGTGTGTATTTTTAGAAACTTGAATCTGTATAATGTTAGTAGGAAGACAGTATATTTCTTTTAAAAATGCACTGTTAAAGTCCATACATAATTTTTTAAAATTACAACTGCTTTCCTTAGACCTATTTGATGCAGCTCTTTATGGTTCTAAAGTTTACTGCTTATTACTCAGTGGTTCATAAGGAAGCACTCAAAGTTGTAGTTTTTGCAGTAATAAAACAGTTTGTTTTTTTTTTCAGCTTTCTTTGAAAAGTCTTCTGGACAACATGTTTTATTTTTATATTTACTTAAAATGGTACCATATATATTTCATACTAAACATCTATGCACAAAAGACAACATGATATAAAGATTTTTTACTCTCCTGTTTGAAGTTAAGCTAATTTTTTGTTAAATTCATTGCATATAAATATTTTAAGTACCCTAATAATAGAACTTGCATTATTAAAAGTTCCTTGGAATTATTACATATTTAAAACATGCTTTTAATAGTTGAAAGCGATTTATATATAATTAACTTATCTATAAAATAAAATGTGTTTGATACAAACATACACATTCCATTCTTACTGAATTTCACAAACAGTAGCCAATGCCCTCTCAAATCTATTATTCTGCCATTTATTCTTTAACACAGACATAATTATTCTGCGTTATTCAATCTGGTTTCAATCTGGTATTTACTTATTAATAAAAGTCCACCTTAGCAACACAGGTTTTTTTTTAAATTATGGTAAGTGATAAAAGTATAAAAAGTTGCAGTTTTTAAAATTACATTATTTTTAGTTTTTAATTTTCTTATCTGACAATTTTTGTCACTTTTCTAAGAAGTAACCAAATTGGCAGTATATGTCATTTCTCTTTAAGTCCTTGTTCTGGTTTTTGTTAGAGGTGCTAAGAGATTGGTGACTATTAGATGGTACTAAAAAATATAGTTTTAGATAATACACAGACTGAATAATACTTATTTTAAAAATACCAGCAATTAAACTGCTCATTTCACTGAATACTTTTCTCCCTAATTAATCTCAAAAGTATATTTGCTACTATAGAAAACATCACAATAAAATTAAAATTATATATATTCTATCTTTATCTATAGCAAGTACTCAATCTTATTTAATAAGGTACTTCCCCCACTTCGATTCTGTCTTTTTTAAAGAATGAATTGTTGAAATGTTCTGTGAAATCCTTAGGCATATTATTAGTATATTCTGACAGTCTTGTCACTTTTCAGGGATTTCACATATATAAAAATCATTGTATACTATTTCCATCATAGCATGGAGAAGAAATCATTTAGCCCTGACATTGTTAAATTTGCCTTCCTCAATTATAACCTCAGTAATTCCAGGTGACTAAGGAAACATTCTAAAAGAAGCATTGATTTGACTCGAATGATTGTAGAACTTTAGACCTTTGGTCATTTCTCTGCTGGAATTTATCTTCATTTATGTATGTTCTGCCACCATCAGTGGGCAAAGTGAAGATCCACTTTGATTTTTAAATTTCATGATCAAAAATAAGTAACTTTTAAAAGGTTTTATTTTAAATCTATGTATAATTTACAAACATTATAATACTAAGCCTTTTATCAGTTTGGTAAATATTTGGCTATAGCAAATGTTGCCCCTCCCCCATTTCCAGAGTGTTCCAGTTACCATATAACTGGTAATATTTATTAAGTACTGTAATTTAATTATCAGCCACATTGCTATGCTGCATCCAGTCTATTGAACTTCTTCAGATCCAGAATCATATAACTGGTAATATTTATTTAATATTGTAATTATCAGCCACATTGCTATGCTACATTCAGTCTATTGAACTTCCTCAAAGTTCATCTTGACATTTTGCATTTCTTAAAGATCAGAACAAAACTATGAAGATAAGCATGTGAATTTATTGTCCTGTAATTTGGGTCACCTTGAAGCATCAGTAGCTTTCCAAATGACCACATATTTCCCAAACTGTGGTCAAGTGACTTTTCGGTAATATTAAGTTCATTTTTAGGGTTGCTTAAATGGAGACTGTGCTGGGAGGAAAAGCTGACAAAGCTAACAAAAAATGACCTATTTTTAAATTAATTTTTTTTTTCTGTGCCAGGCAGTGAATTCGGCCTCACACATAGGAGGCATGCTACATCCTTAGGCCTTTAAATCTCTTACTTTGAATGTCTGGTTATGTATGTCAACATTTTGCCTCAATGTCCGGTATTCCTTTCCACTTAACATCTTACTGAATTATATATAGATTGTTGTTTTAAGAATATTTTGGGAGAAAGGTTACAGTGTATTAAAAAATTATAAGAGATTTAGAGTTTAATGTATTATGTAGGAAATATTCTGAGTATTCTAATGCCTTTCTAAAAAACTCATTTATTTGCTAGGTAAGTTCTCTTCTACACTTTATGAGACTGGTGGCTGTGATATGTCACTTGTGAATTTTGAACCAGCAGCAAGAAGAGCATCTAATATCTGGTATGTGTACTATATGGACATTGTTTCTAATTGTTTATTTTTTCCATGCTCATAACTTTTGGTGTTGAGATGAAAATATTTTCAAATTGACATAATTTATCATACTGCATTGTCATACTGCATTTGTCTTCAAAGAGTCTTAAAAGTGGAATTATTTTTTGTTATGAAAGAAAGAAAACCTTATTTTTAAAACAAAAGCTAGTTTGTATTTAAAAATATTAAGTACACATTTCCTTCTGTAACACATATTAGTGGGGCTGATTTCCCATGATTTCTTTTTGTGGGAGGAAGGGTGAGGAGGGGAGATTTTTAACATTTTGAGTCACGCCTGGCAATGCTCAGAGGTTATTCTGGTTCTACACTTAGGAATTGCTCCTGGCGGTGCTTAGGGGACCATAATGGATGACGTGGATCAAACCTGGGTCGGCTGTATACAAGGCAGATACCCTACCCACTGTACTATCACTCCAGCCCCGAATGTCACCTTTTTTTTAAAATGAGCAACTTTACTTTTGTTTTAAAACTTGCTAACTGCTGCAAATGGGTGGAATTACTTAAATTTAAGAGTCAAATATTAACATTCACTTTTAGAATAAGATAATGGGCATTTACAAGAAAAGCAATAAAAAAATTGAAACTTTGTATCTAGAATATAATCCATTACAAAATGTCAGTATTTTGTTTCAAAGTTTTTAATCACATTCATCTTTTCAGGTTGTTACTTTGAAATTAATTATTGATTCTTTAGGGATTTTTTTTGTTGTTGCTGACAAGAGTCATGATTATTTTTGGATTTCCATTTAACAATTGGTCATGCCTATTGAAATGTCACATTTCTGTGGGTAGTTTGCTTAGTTTCTCAGACTTTGAGCGACATTTAAAGCAATAGGTTCATGTAGTCACTTAGCATGTTGGGAAAAAAAGCCAAAATATTTACACAACTGTACTAAGTTCTAGAATTTACTCTGTTAAAAATTATTAAATTGGAGGATTAGATATTTTCATAATAGTTGAACTAATAGGGGGTGGTGCAGTGGATATTTAATATGTTGACACCAATGCATACCACCAGTGGCTCACACCTAAATGTGGTTTAATTAACAGAATTGTGGCACTGGTGTCAGTGTGTTAATATATTCAGGAACAGTTTCTTCTTCTATTATAACTATGATGAGGTCTCAAGTTTTGAAATCTAATCTTGACTGAACTGTGGAAAACGAATTGATGTGTTCTGTGTTATTATATTATAGCTTAAATTGATTATCATTCTAGGTAATGTGTTGATTGCACTCAAATATTTTTTATAAAGAATCTCATGATAGTGATACTGTATGTTACTGTTGAGGAAACTGAGGTATGAAAGATTAGATAATTTATACAAATTCTCATTTGAGAAAAAGGTTTTAAGTAGATATTCTAGCCCAAAGTTCTTATATTCTTAATCACAGATCTAGGAAAATACTATGTTTCGTATTGGAGATTTTATGGAAAAGTGATAGCATTGTAAATATCACCTAATTGTAAAGGATTTATTTTTCTTTCTATTCATTCACCAACTATTCCCTAAAGTGTTTCTCATTTTATTTTAGTGATACGGATTCTCATGTATCCAGTTCTACCTCAGTTCGATTTTATCCACATGATGTGGTAGGTTTTACTTTATTTTATAAATAATGTCTTTTCAGATTAGGCAGTTATGCATATCAGAAAATCTTGACAAAGTTACAGAAAGTCAGTTTTATGGAAAATTATAGTGAAATTATTTTTGTAAATCCTTTGACCCCACCCACCCTGTCCACCACCACCTGCTCCCACCACCAAAAAGCCCAGAAATTTAATCACTACTTATGAAGCTCTAAATACACTTTTGAGTGTATGTAAAGGTTCATTGTTTATCAACACCATATATCTGGTTATAGCATTTCAAATCATGCCGTTTCAGAAGTGTACTTTGAATATTAAGGATTTTGTGCAGTTATGTAACAGTTAAATAATTTTTAGTTATTGATATACCGATGGGCTGGAGTGATAGCACAGCGGTAGGGCGTTTGCCTTATGCGCAGCCAGCCCGGCTGAGCTGGGTTCGATTCCTCCGCCCCTCTCGGAGATCCCGCAAGCCACCGAGAGTATCTCGCCCATACGCAAAGCCTGGCAAGCTACCCGTGACATATTCAATATGCCAAACACAGTAACAACAAGTCTCAAAAATGGAGATGTTACTGGACCTGCTCGAGCAAATTGATGAACAACGGGAGGACAGTGTTTGACAGTGTTTGTTTGATATTACCAATATGTGTATGTGAGACTTTGTGACCATGTAACACTAAAAATATGCCACATGAAATAGAGAGAAACTTTTAAACAGGCAACACTATCTTTACTATAAAGATGTAGCTGTTGAAGTTAGAAAGGATGAAACAGTTGAATCTTCATAAGCAATACATGAAAGTACATTAATACGTTCAGCACCAAAAGGATTATTAGCAGCTTCCAAAGCATGATGTTGTGAACATAATTTTAAGATCATAAATGTTATAAATGGATGTAACTGGCATGTAAATATATTTCAACAAGTGTGTATTTGGCAGTGTCTGGAAGCAATTTTGCTTGTCACACCTAGGGAAATACTACTGGTTTCTGGTAATTGGAGGAGGCCAGGAATAAAGTTACTCTTTCAATGCAGATAACACTGCCCCCACAATGCATCTGATTGAAAATATTTGTGGTGCCAAGATTGAAAAAATGGGAAGGATAATTAAAAAAAAAGTATTTGGGAGAAGTGCAGCTGGCGTGTAGAGATAGAATACCCTGTGATTGGAAGCAAACAAAATTGAGCATATCAATATATGTGTTTGAAGAGTCAAAACTGGCCCTATTTTTTTCTCTTTAGCATTTTCTGAATGCTACAAAGAAAGTAAAAATGGGAAAATGATTATTTTACTGTTGTCTACAGTTAGATTTTTTTTTTTCTTTTTGGGTCACACCTAGCGATGCACAGGGGTTCCTCCTGGCTCTGCACTCAGGAATTATTCCTGGCGGTGCTCAGAGGACCATATGAGATGCTGGGAATCAAACCCGGGTCGGCCGTGTGCAAGGCAAACACCCTACCCGCTGTGCTGTTGCTCCAGCCCCATACAGTTAGATTTTTAAATGTTATGAAAGCCATTCAGTATCAAAATCCTAGCCAGTGCAGTGTTCCATTCTGTCAGTCTGTGATTCTTACTGAAGAAAAGGAAACTTATAGTCTGGCAGATTAATAAATTAAATCTAAAGGAATAAAATGTGATCATTTTCTGTATCGACTCATATGAGCATCCATCCTAAACTAGAATGTGGGGGAGGGATTTGAAACCACTGCAGTGAGAGTCTATAGGAAGAAATGGGAGTTGAGAACATTGAAAAGATGTAGAGGAGTTTAAATGTAACATTGGTAAGGAGGTTCATAGGTCAACGAGAAAAGTCACATGTCATAAGAATAAGAAAAGCCACCAATGATTCACTGTAAGTGATTTTTAGTTTTTTGAGGGATTGCCCAAGAAGTCAGTACTAAGGGGCCATCCTGAGTGGTACTGGGACAAGTGGGTTGAACTCTTCAAAGTTAGGTCAAGTTGGTGTGGTGCTGTTGGAACCCATCATTTCTGGAGCCCTCCTCAGTGGTGTGTGGAGGCCTCCAGAGCTACACGTGGCAGCTTTGGTGGCCACGAAGGGACAGGGGATTCAACAGGGAGCCTTGTTCATGCAAGCAAGTCATGCACCCCGATCCTTGAGCTTTTTCCCTACACCTCATAAGTGATGTTAATAAGTTTGCTAGCTGCATAATTCTAAGATGCTAAGATTTCAAACACTTTTCCTAGTATTTTTCAAAGGTCCTATTGTTCTGTTCATTTTCTGCTGTTACTGTCTATGGTTTCTCATGATGAAATCTCCACTAAAAGTAGACCAGCGTAGAGAATTGAGAGGGCTTTAATAATCTGCATGCTGATTGAGTAGCCCTTGAAGCATGATTTCATTAAAGCTATTTTAAGCCTTTCCAATGCTGACCTTCTTTTAGCTCTCTCTTCCTCAGATTCGATTGAACAGACTGTTGACCATAGATACAGATTTGTTGGAGCAGCAAGACATTGATCTAAGTCCTGACTTGGCGGCTACTTACGGCCCAACAGAAGAAGCCGCCCAAAAGGTCAAACACTATTACCGCTTCTGGATCCTGCCGCAGCTCTGGATCGGCGTTAACTTTGACAGACTCACACTTTTGGCTCTGTTTGATAGGTGAGAATATAATGTAATAAAGATTATTACAAATCTACATAGATTTATTTGTAAATGAATTATACACAATGACCCACTTTTTTTTTTAACTTGTTTACCATGTTGAAACATGTTTTTTGATTTTGTTATAAATGTGTGGGGAAGGGTGTGGTTGTTAGGGTCAGAAGGAACTTTCCAGCACTGCTCAGGGTCCTGGGGTCTGTGCCAGCCAGATAATTCAGTGCTTGGGTTGGTGCTGTGGTGGTGCTTTGGCCACACTGGGTTGTGCTGGGGGGACATTTGGTTCCAGAAATCAACTTCATCTTTGAAGGCTTCATCTTTGCTAGGCATTCACTCTAACCCATTGAGCTATCGCTCCAGTCCTAGTTTGTCTTCCGAATATAAAATCTAAGTTTAAGTTAATTTTATCCAGATTTTAATTCTTAAATCTATTAAAAACTTATTATACATGTATATATACTTTATTTGACAATTAGGTCAATTAATTATTTTATAACAAAGTTATATCTAAAAGAGCACTGTAGCACTACACTGTCCTCCCATTGTTCATCGATTTTGCTTCAGCGGGCACCAGTAACATCTCCATTGTGAGACTTGTTACTGTTTTTTGGCATATTGAATATACCACAGTAGCTTGCCAGGCTCTGCTGTGTGGGTGGATACTCTTGGTAGCTTGCCAGGCTCTCTGAGAGGGACAGAAGAATTGAACCCCAGGTCAGCCACGTGCAAGACAAACGCCCTACCCACTGTGCTATCGCTCCAGCTCGATGATTATCTAAATTTCAAAATTTAACATCAATATCCAAAAAAGTGACACCATCACTTGGCAATAGAAAAAAGACTCAATTCAAAGGGCTGGAAACATGCTTTACTTGTGGGGTCCAGGGTTCCATCCCTGGGCACCACCACTTGTGACCCAAAGAAGGAAAAGAAGAACCAGAGTCAGCACTTTCTAGAACCACATGAGAAAGTTTCTCCTGGGCTCTCCCAGAAACTGCATGGACACTGCATGGGGGAGCTGCGCTCCCACCCCATCCCACTCCACCTCACCCTGGCATGGCAGCTGGGCAATGACTTACCATTAGCTCCTTGAAACCCAAAACACTCCTTTGTTCTTTAAATACACAGAGACATTTCAATGAAATGTTGCTCAAAAGAGCTGAAAACCTTTCTTCAGAAAATTTGAGCTTCTCTAGGCAGACAAAGAATCCAGCAAGTCATGTTCTTGCCTTGAGCTCAGTTGGACCCGGGTTCAATCCCCAACACTGCATACGATGCCCCCTTCCCCAACATCACCAGCCTTCTCAGGAACAAGTCAGAGCCCTACAGGCAGTGAGGTGTGGCCCAAGAACAAAGGCGTTAGGAAGAAAGGAAAATTTGAGTTTCTCATAAATCTAAATAGGGCTGGAGCGATAGCACAGTGGGTAGGGCGTTCGCCTTACAAGCGGCCAACATGGCCGACCCGAGTTCGATTCCTCCGCCCCTCTCGGAGAGCCCGGCAAGCTACCGAGAGTATTCGATATGCCAGACACAGTAACAACAAAGTCTCCAATGGAGACGTTACTGGGCCCGCTTGAGCAAATCGACGATCAACGGGAGGGCCTTTACCATAAATCTAAATATAATAAAGAATGCTATGTTCAGAGTTTAAGATAAACTAATTTCTTAGTTTACGAACTAAGAAATTAAACAACCAAACTCAGTCCATCATAGATTAAAATCAGCTATCCTTTCTTCTTTAATACTCACTCTTAAGTTAAAAAATATTTTTTAATATACATTAAAGTATAAATTCACACTGTATATTACAATTAGAATTTTACAATTCACTATAGCTTGCTTCAATTTGTAATTTTCAAATGAATTTCTTTTTCAATATAATCCAAGCTCGGAGGATAGAGAATTATTAGTACACTGGGTAGGGCATTTGCCTTTTATATAGCCAACTTCATTTTGATCCCTGGCACCACATATGGTCCCATGAGGGAATGATCCCTGAGTGCAGAGCCAGTAGTGAACCCTGAGCATAGTTGATTGTTAGCCTCCCATTACCAGCCCTCTTCCCCACAAATCAATGTAATCCACCCTTATTCAAATTCACTTCAAAACCACATCTCAGTAGGCATAACATGAGCTTTTTATTAGCATCTCTTCTGTGCTGATTAGTTGATTATACTGATGATTTGCTTGTAAATTTTACTCATACATTTCTTTTTAATCTTCAGAAATCGTGAGATCCTGGAAAATATATTAGCTGTCATCTTGGCTATTCTTGTGGCATTTTTGGGATCTGTTCTTCTCATACAAGGCTTCTTCCGAGACATCTGGGTTTTCCAGTTTTGCCTGGTGATAGCCAGCTGTCAATACTCACTGCTTAAGGTACCAGCATCTCTCTTTTTTTTCAGGCTACAGAATAACACTTTGTTAAAGACAGAAGGTTTCATATCATGCACTGAATTATAATAATACATTTTAGTTTTCAGATATATTTTTCAGATGTTTACTATATATTACATGTGGAGCACAATGGGCATATAAACTTCTTAAATGGCATGAAAAACTGTTAGATTTACAGTTTTAAATTACCCCTATTAAAAATATTTGAGTATTGTAGTTTAGAGTTTGCATTCTTGAAATTAACTGCTGTTAAATTTAGCGCTTGCCTATATTTTGTCTTCTGTTTTATCTGTAGATAAAATTTATTTAAAATTATTATTGCTAGATATAAGACTAACACTTATATTTTTGTAAGAGATTGGTGTCCTTTTGCTGCTGTTTTAATAGTTTACAAGTTTAATAGTATCTCAAAAGCTGTAAAATACTTAGTTACTTGAAACTTTTCCCCAATGGGGAAATCCAGTAACATTTTTTTTTGCATTTTTTTCAAAAATCTGTGTCTAAACATAGGCTGTTTTCTTTACCTTTCTCAGGTAGTCTCTACCTTTGCTTGTTTTGGCTATTTGTTTACTATACAAGATGAAAATCCAGGTTCTCCCATCATATCTAGTCTTTTTTTTTCATGCCATCAGCTTTAAAGAAAAAAATTAAAGCACTGTGATTTATAGTTATTCATAGTTGAACTTTAGACATAGAATATTGCAGCACCGATCCCACTACCAGGGTCAGCTTCCCTCCACAAGGGTTCCCTCCTCCTTCTCCTCCCTGTCTGTCCTCCTTACAGGTACATTTCTAAGTTCACTTGTTAAAGCTTTATGCTGTCAGCTTTTAAAAAAATTTCTCTGTGTATGCATAGACACCTGTGTTCATCAATACCCATCCATATGTTCTTTACTCATTGCTTTGCTGAGAGTCTTTGTGGTTATCGCTGGTTTCCCATATGCTAAAATCTATGTCCTTTTCTTTGACTTCTTTCTCTGAGTGACACATCATTTTATCCCCATGAATGCTATCTTGTATTTGTTTCTCCTCTTTGTTCTATGACTGTCATTGTCTGGGTACTTCACCTTGGCACTTGGGCAGTACTTGGGCCTGGAGTGCTTTGAGGCCACCAGAACTACACCTGGTCGTGCTGGGAAGAGCATGAGGTATCATAGGTCAGAACCAGGCCTCACACACGTGAGGCTTTAATTCCACCACCTAAGCCACATCACTGGCCCTGTTCTCCACTTATGCTACCCTGATGGTTATTCTACTTCTCAGACAAGTCTGTTTTCCTTTGTCAGTGCTTCTTCTTTTGATCACTTCTTATTTAATGAGAAATCCCATAAATTGTTAGGAGAGAGCTTCACTTGTCCTTTTCAGTTTGTAATTGCTGCCAGTGATGTCATCCTTTTTTACTAGCTTTTTGTTGCTCCTCAATATAAATTTTGTCCAGTTTGATATTTTGAAGTCTTCAGCTTCATAAATTTTAGTGCTCTGTATTTAACAGACATGTAAGAAATAGCACAGCATCATGTTTTAGTAGTTTTCTTTCCTTTGCTTTTAGTAGTAACATACAGACTGACGATCTTAAAGCCTCTGCTTCTCATTTTCAGTCCCTAAAAACACTAACAAAATTAATTGGAATAAATTTGGTGATTCTATGTTTAAAATGTTGACGTTTGTTCTTGCTTTCTATTTTGACCATCTCATCCCTCCGCCCCTCTCGGAGAGCCCGGCAAGCTACCGAGAGTATTCGATATGCCAGACACAGTAACAACACAGTCTCCAATGGAGACATTACTGGGCCCGCTCGAGCAAATCGACGATCAACGGGAGGGCCTTTACCTTTACCTCTCCTCTTTATGTCTTCAAAAACTCACATTGACTGTAACCCTTGTGATATTATGTCTAATAATTTGAATGTACTTTAAATACAGAAAAGGTTAAAAAAAAAGACAGGATTCGATTTTATTTTATTATTTTTTTTATCGAATCCTCCGCCCCTCTCGGAGAGCCCGGCAAGCTACCGAGAGTATCTCGCCCGCACGGCAGAGCCTGGCAAGCTCCCCGTGACGTATTCGATATGCCAGACACAGTAACAACAAAAATCTCCAATAGAGACGTTACTGAGCCCGCTCGAGCAAATCGATGAACAACGGGAGGGCCTTTACCTTTACCTTTACCTTTATCGAATCACCTTGAGATACAGTTACAAAGCTTTCATGTTTGAGTTTCAGTCATACAGTGATCAAACACCCATCCCTCCACTAGTGGATATCTTCCACCACCAGTGTCCCCAGTATTCCCTCCCCCACCCCCACTCTGCATCCCACCCTTTCCTTGCCTCTGTGGCAGACAATTTCCCCCATACTTAATCTACTTTTGGGCATTATGGTTTGCAATACAGATACTAAGACGCTGTCAACATTTGGTCTTTTATCTACTTTTAGCAAACATCTCCCATCCCGAATGATCCCTCCAAACATCATTGACTTAGTGATCCCTTCTTTATTCCACTTGCCTTCTCCCCCAGCTCATGAGGCAGGCTTCCTACTATGAAGCATTATTCCTGGCCCTTGTCTCTACTGTCCTTGTTGTTAGTCTCATATTATGTTATTCTGTATTACACAAATGAGTGTGGTCATTCTATGTCTGTTCCTCTCTTTCTGACTCATGTCATTTAGCATGATAATCTCCCTGACCCTCTACTTATAAATAAATTTCATGACTTCATCTCTCCTAACAGCTGCATAGTATTCCATTGTGTAGATGTACCAAAGTTTCTTTAACTAGGAAGACTGAATTTTATTAGTTGATTAGAAGAAGAATGTCACAAACAGAAATAAGACTGAAACACAAACTTTTATGATCATTGTTTATTTATTGGGTATGTGGGGCATGGGGGATTGAGGTGAGCACCTATGATGCTCCTGGACTTTTCCTGGCTTTGTGCTCAGGAGTGATCCATTAGTAGTGTTTGGGAGACCAAGTGTGGTGCCTGAGATTCAAACCAGGGTTAGTTGAATTCAAGGCAAGATCCTTACCTCCTCTACTTTCTCTCTAGCCTCTCTGAAACACACATTTTTAGGGAATATTTGCTGGAATTGAAATAATTTAATGACCTGATTCCATATCCAATAAAGGACCTTGTACCCCAGACTCAGTATGCTTGATTCATTGTAGAATTAATGGATGTGATAGGCTATTCTATAGAAATTTCTTGGTTAATGTTACTAGAAATAAATTTTAATTTAGCAGAAAAGCCATAATTTGGATGGTAAAGAATTTCTCTAGAGCATTTTGTGGAAAGTTGAGAAAGTTTTTTAAGGGATAAAGTTTAATGTAATCAATGCTTTTGATCTGAAAACTTAGAAGATATATTCAATACAATACCATTGAATTATGTAGTATGCCTGGACTTTGTTGACAGAGCTGTAAAACTTATAAACTAACCCATATTTTGTGCATTTTCTAAGTGCAGTAATGTCACATAAGAGAGAATTCTACCATTATACATTTGTATAGTAAAGAGTAGAGGTGTAGAATGGATTGATCTCTCATGTGCCATTTCAGAAATGTTAAGCTAGATACAAATTATTAACCACAGTAAGTTTAAGAACTGGGAAAGATGGGGTTGGAGGGAGGGAGTACAGTGGGTAGGGCACTTAACCTTGCACGTGGCCTAACTGGATTCAATCTTGGCACCACATAGGAGTAAGACCAGTGTGGCCCAGAAACAAACAAACAAAAATAAATAAAAAAATAAAAAAAACAAAACACCAGTGTCTGTAGTTGATGTATTGGTGTTTCAACACAATTAACGTACTCATTTCTTAGGTGTGGAATCTTGAAATTATTTCATACATGTTGAGCATTTATTATAAAAGTACCAGGATTTCAGGAGAATAATCTGTCTCTCTGTTTCATTTTCAGAGTGTTCAACCAGATTCCTCTTCTCCTAGACATGTGAGTTGCTCCAGCATGCCTGTGACTTAACATTTATCAAAGCTTTTTTTGTTGTTGTTATGTTAGATTAACTAAAATGTTTGTTACTGTTTTCTCATCTTATTTTTGACACGCAGTAAGAAATCTGGGTGATTTTATTAGCATAAAATAAAGGGGTATTGTGAATGTGTGCTCTAAATTTATTAAAAATTAGCATAGTAGGTTTTTTTTTTAGAGAAAAGTAATTGGCACACTTTGAGTGATTCTGTGCTAGCAGCCTTATTTTTATTAAATTTTTAAAAAAAAATTTCCCACTGATTTACGATACTATATAAATTTTGGAAGCATAGCTTTATAACTTTATATGTATATGGGTAACTAAACTAAAAACTTCATGTGCTGACAACATATTTTAGGAGGAAGTTATCAGTGAGGTAGACATATATCATTTAAACTCATGATTTTTTGACTAGGTATTTAATAATTTTGAAATATTGGTCATGAGTAAGTATTGAAAAGTAGAACTTTGAGTAGGAAAAGTTTTATATTACTTTGCTTAGATAATTAGGAGCATGAATAAGGAAGTGATAAATTGATCTGTTCTTTATACCTATGACTGTCAAGGAGATTGAAAACCTTATTATTCACTTTGTGATTTTAGTCTTATTTAATATATATTTCTATTGGGGGGGTGGCTCTCAGGGGGTGATCTGAAGACCCGGAGGCCCTTCCCTATGGTTCTCTTGTGACCAGATGTCATGGGTCAGTGCAGGGCCCCAAGGATGCGGTGCTGCTCCAGCCCAGTGGCTCTTACCCAGGCCAGCCCAGTGGTGCTCAAGGTGTCCAGGGCTGCATCTGGTGACGGTCATGGACCGTGTGGTACCAGGGATTGAAACAGGCTCAGCCACATGCAAGGCATGTGCATTTAACCCTGTCTTACCTCCTGGCTTCCTTTTTGATTTTATCAAAAGAATTGGTTTTCTAACTCTACTTACTGTGAGAGATACCATCAGCTTTTAGACCGCAGACCAGAGTATTAATTTATTTTGGTTTTGGGGTCACACCTGTAAGCCATCTATGCTGAGAGCTTACAGCTGGCTTTGTGCTCAGGGGATGGTATATGCTGCTGGGGATCAAGCCCAGCTTGGCCATCTTCAAGGCAAGCGCCTTATCTGCTATACTACCTCCCTGACCCTTACCCTAGAATATATTTAATAGAAAAAATAAATGACCTCTCCTTAGACAGACTCTAAGAACAGTTTATGTCCCCTTTTTTGAATATGATAGTCACTGTCACTGTCCTCCTGTTGTTCATCGATTTGCTTGAACGGGCCCAGTAATGTCTCCATTGTGACACTTGTTACAGTGTTTGGCATATCGAATATGTCACGTGTAGCTTGCCAGGTTTTGCTGTGTGGGTGAAATACTCTCGGTAGCTTGCTGGGCTCTCCGAGATGGGCAGAGGAACCGAACTTGCATCAGCCACGTTGGCTGTGTGCAAGGGAAACGCCCTACCTGCTGTGCTATCACTCCAGCCCGAAATGATAGAATATGTAATAGTAGAGTATTATTTAATACTCACCAAAATAGGATATTTAATTATGAGAGTGCATGGACAAAACTTAAGGGGTAAATTATTTTTGTTCAGCTTAACAACTTCGTTTTACTATTTCTAAGAATTCTTTTGTAGTGTAATGACATGTGGAAGTTTTATCTGTTTTTTGTGTGTATGCCTCTCTTTTCAGTGTAGCTCCCCAGCAGAGTTCAGGCATTCAGGGTCCACTCGTGGGCATTCAAGGCCCAGTGGTGTGTGCCTTGGACTCAGCAATGTGCTGCAGCTCAGGAGGTCAGACTGTCCTGAGTATCAAACTCAGGGCCTCACCCAAGCTTGCCATCCTCTCTAGCCCTTTGAGCTTCTTCTCTGGCCCTAGATGGAAATGCTTTTAATTCATAGAATATAAGCCACCAAGGATCTGAGTAGCAGGTTGTGATGCTTAAAAGTAACTAAACTAACTTTTTAAAAATGTCGTTTTCAGGGTCATAACCGTATCATTGCCTACAGTAGACCAGTTTATTTCTGTATATGTTGTGGTCTTATTTGGCTCTTGGATTATGGTAGCAGAAACCTTACCACAACCAAGTTCAAACTCTATGGAATAACGTTCACCAATCCACTGGTGCTTATTTCAGCGAGGGATTTAGTTATAGGTGAGTTATCCTTAAAATATTTCAAATCTTAACATTGACATATATACAAATGGGTTCACTTATGTTGAGAAATATCATTTTATAAGTTTTTATTGTTTTAATCTATTTTTAAAACAGTATATTACAATTAAGGTAATATGTCTGCAGTGGTGTTGACATTCATGCTTTGGTATACAGTTGCCTCACCTTATCACCACCAAGTTAGGCCTTAGTAAGGAGCAAAACTGTAGGGTTATTGTGATGGAAAAGGTTAATGATAAACAAATGTAATCTTCTGTTCTTGAGGCAGATGCAATGGACTACTTCCTCTGAAACCATTTCACAGTTGAAATAATTTTGTATAGTGGTTAAAATATAGATTAAAATAGTTGAAATAATTTTTGAAGCTAATCTTTATAATTGAGAACATTACTAAGTACCAAAGCAATTATGTAGAGAGAAGTAATTTTAAATGCCTTTTTAATAATCACCTGGGATTTATATTTTTGGATTTTTATTTTGTCCTTAAGTGACTAAAAGATACGGTATTTTATTTTAAATATGTTTTCCTTTCCTTCTATAGTGTTCACACTTTGTTTCCCAGTAGTGTTTTTCATTGGTCTCCTGCCTCAGGTGAATACATTTGTAATGTACCTTTGTGAGCAATTGGATATTCATATCTTTGGTGGTAATGGTGAGTAATTTTTTTTTTTAAAAATCACAGATTATAGTATTACTTTTACACATGAGATGATAAAGTTAATCTCAAAGTAATCTTCTGATTTTTTATTTTAGAATTGAAATTTCTAAGATCCCCATTTAATAATTGAAAACTGAGCAGGAATGAATGTATAGATAGAAAAATGTAGTCGAGTTCGCAACTTTAGTGAAAGATGGAGGCATTGTGGAGTTAATTTGTAAGACATAATAAATGTTATTGTCCAAAGAGAAAAAGTCAGGAGACCAGAATGATAGTACAGCAGGTAAGGCACTTGCCTTACACACTGTAGACCTGAGTTCCATCCCTGGCATCCATTTGATCCCTCAGGCACCACCAAGAGTAATTCCTGAGTGCAGAGCCAGTAAAATCCCTGAGTACTACCAGACCAGGCTTTCATCTCTGGCATCCCATATGGCCAACCCAGGTTCAATCCACAGAATCCTATTAGGTTCCCTAATCACTACCAGGAATAAACCCTGAGCATAGCTTGGTGTTGCACAAAAACAAAACACAAAAGTATGTATTTCTATTTTACTTCATTTATAAAGTAACTAGGACTCATGGATATTATTTTGGAATATACAGTGGTTTGCATAATTTGTCAGTAACCTCTGTGTTTCAAAAACACCTTTAGTTTTTTGTATGTAGTATTTTACTTAGAGATGAGCATATATGAGAGGAAAGAGAAATTTAGGAAGGAGAAAACATTTTAATAACTTTAGAGTTTCTTTTCATATTTCATGCTTGCATTCTTCATTCATCTTTCAAATTTGTACATTGACATAATTATCTTTCTAATAAAATGTTTAGATGATTATTTAAATTTTAAGTAGAAACCACACCTTTTCTATATTGTTATGTCTCTAGGGCGTATTTTTGATGCTTATGAAAAGGATTGTGAATTCATGCTGGGCTAGTGTTCAGCATACGTTAGTGGGTAGAAGAAAGTTTGAGTATTTCAAAAACATTGTCCATTCATGGGCTGGAGTGATAGCACAGCGGGTAGGGCATTTGCCTTGCCCTCGGCCGACCCAAGTTCGATTCCCAGCATCCCATATGGTCCCCCAAGCATGGCCAAGAGTAATTCCTGAGTTCATAAATCAGGAGTAACCCCTGTGCATCACTGGTTGTGACCCAAAAAGCAAGGAAAAAAAAAACATTGTCCATTCTATATTTTCAAAACTATGAAGAGAATTTTGTGTAGGTAACTTACAACAGGGGACTTTATCATAGTATATGAAGTTGTATAATGTGTGTCTCCTAAAGAGATTCTTTTTCTGTAGATTACTTTTATGGTCACCATTTAAAATTGCCACTAATGGAAAGTCTATTTTTCACATTTTTTAAATGAAGGCTAACTATTTTAGTCATCCCCATATTTCTATTTACAAGTAAATCTGGATCAAGTTTTTTGTTGTGATTATTGTTAGTAACTAGTTCTTTACTTATTTTGGGGTGTGGGAGCATGGCTTGGGATACACCTGGTTGTGCTCAGAGATATCTGATGACTGTGCTCAGGGAGCACTCTTGGTGGTGCTTGGGAAATCATATGTGGTACTGGATCTCGAACCCAGGTAAGCCACATGTAAGGCAAGCACCTTACCCACTGTACTTTCTCTCCAGAACCTCATTTTTATACTTTTTTTGTGTGGGAATTAACATGTGGGAATACAAGATTTATTTCTGATGGTAATACAAGCTCTCTTTACATAGATTGATGTCTTTTAGCAAATACTTTAAACATCTTTAGTTTCTTTTCAGGCAAGCATTGTTAACCCAAACTTTCATAAGCAACAAGATAAATTCTTAAAGTATCACTATAATTTTCTAATATGTGTAAAAAAGTTTGACTTGCAAAGCAAATAACGTATTTTATCTTCAATAAAAAATGATGGCTAGGAAATCCTTTTTTATTTTAAAATTGTTTGAAAGCATGGGATGAAGTAACTGAAGCTTTTAAGATCAAGTGAGTAGGCAGCCATATTTCATTTTAGATACTTTTAACCACTTTTTCCGTAAATGCTTATCATATTATCATTCCTTTCTTTGCGATCCAGCCACGACTAGCCTGCTTGCGGCACTTTACAGTTTCATCTGCAGCATTGTGGCAGTCGCCTTACTGTATGGACTATGTTATGGCGCTCTAAAGGTGAGCTACACGTTGGAGGGTGATATTTTGTCTATGTGTCTCTCTGAAGTGTTTTAAAGAGAACTAATAAAGAGTTATCTCCCCTGGTGCCATTGGCATTTATTTCCTAGATCTTCTTATGTTGAACATTGTTCTCGTTTTTGTTTATTTTAAATTTTAAATTTCTTAGTTATCTGTTATTAAAGGAAACTCCTCTTCTGTGCAGCACTGGGAGGTTAAAATTATAAACCGATTCTTAAAAACTAGTCTAGAATAAAGTTGGGCATGATAGTAACAAAGTGTTAGTTACCTTAGACTTTTAGTTAAGAATTTATGTGACTTGGGACTGGAGAGACAGTACAGTGGGTTGGGCACTTACTTCACATGCTACCAACCCCAGTTTAGTCCTCAGCTCTATTCATGGTCTCCCCCAACCAGGAATAATCCCTGAGTGGAGAGCCAGGAGTAAGTACTCAGCACCACTGGTTATGGTGCAAACCCCTCTCTGCCAAGGGGAAAAAAGAACTTATGTAACCTCTGTTCATATCAAGATTCTTAAAATTTGAGAGTTTAATAACTAAAATTAAAGTTATATTCTATTAAAAATTGATGCACTAAAAGTTATTGTCATCATTGGCTTGAAAGGATCAATTTGAGAATTCTTATTTTAGCAAACGATAGCACAGCAGTAGGGCGTTTGCCTTGCACGCAGCCAACATGGCCGACCCGAGTTCGATTCCTCCGCCCCTCTCGGAGAGCCCGGCAAGCTACCGAGAGTATCTTGCCAGCACGGCAGAGCCTGGCAAGCTCCCCGTGACGTATTCGATATGCCAAACACAGTACCAACAAAGTCTCCAAAGGAGACATTACTGGGCCCGCACAAGCAAATCGATGATCAATGGGAGGGCCTTTACTTACTTACTTTACTTATTTTAGCAAACATCACTGAATTATAAACATAATAATTTAAATTTCATCATAAATAATCCTTCATCTCTGGTCTTATTTTTTATAATTACTCTAAGATAGCGAATTATAGAGTCAAAAGGACCCTGATGAGTGACTCATTAGCATCCTTTATTTATTCAGTAGCATTTTTGGAATGCTGCCTGTATGCCCAGCACTATGCTAAATACCATCTACTGTTTTTTAAGTTGTTTATATCTTAGTTGTGATTAGCCAGTCAGCCAACACTTTCAGTAAAGTGTGTAGGACTGTGACATCAGTGTTTCAGGGATGTGAATTCAGTTATTTATTTACCTGAAAGGGATTAAAGATAGTTTTCCAACATTTTTAGCCAAGACTTGAAAGAAAAATAAGAATTAGCTGATTGAAATGAAGGTGGAAAAACTGTGGAACTGTATAGAAAGTATGTTGAGAATAGGAATGGAGGTGTGAGTATTTAAGAAAGAGGGCTTTCAGTAAGGCTGGAAGGGTAACCATGCTGAATTTCACATCTTTTGACCAAGTGTGCTAAGGGGAGAGGAAAAATCACCATGAAAATATCTGAGGTAAGGCCAGGCATTAATTAGTTTTGTATTTTAGAAAAATTACATGGTCCCCAGTATGACAAGAGACTTGAATATGAGCAGGAATGAACTCGAGAGAGAGTAGAGAGACTCTTGCAGAGAAATTTAATGAAAATTAGATTCAGTGAATGTATTAGGGGTTCTGGCTAAAGAAATAAAGGCCAGAATAGGATTCAGAGTGACTTCTGAATAGTCAGCTGCGAAAAAAAAAAAAGATCCTACTGAGCAGGGTGAAGGCTGTGAGTTTAAGGAGGAAGATGATTGTTTATATGGGGACACATTTACTTGTTATTGTTTATGGAGTGCTCAAGATGCAGAATGGGTAGTTGTTCATAGTGTAGCACTGTAGCACTGTCCTCCCATTGTTCATCGATTTGTTTGAGCGGGCTCAGTAACGTCTCCATTGTGAGACTTGTTGTTACTGTGTTTGGCATATCGAATACATCACGGGGAGCTTGCCAGGCTTTGCTGTGGGGGCAGGATACTCTTGGTAGCTTGCCGGGCTCTCCGAGAGGGGCGGAGGAATCCGAACTCGGGTCAGCCGGGTTGGCCACATGCAAGGCAAACGCCCTACCCACTGTGCTATCGCTCCAGCCCTTCATAGTATAAAGAAGTTATAATTGTTCTAAAATTTATTGACAGAATTAAAGTATAAGACAAAGGCTGCATAGGCCAGAAAGCACAAGGAAATTATGTTGAGAGCGTCTACTTTGTATTCAGGAGGCTCAGGTTCAATCCCCAGCACTACACAGCATCCTCCAGGCATAACAAGGAGTCCTGACCCTGAGTCCTGAGCATAGAACACTAGGAGATGCCAGTGTTTTAAGTGTTGGATAAAACAGAACCCAGCAAAGGAAACTTGAATGGCATTATTGTCTAAAAGTGGTTTTTTTTGGGGGGGAGAGGGGGGTTTGCAATTAGATAAGTATTGATGACTTTTCAGTTTCTTTGGTGTTTTGGCTATGAAATTTAGAGTAGAATGGATTTAGGTTTAAATAGATTTTAAAGGAGTACACCAAGCTGTTTTAGAGTGTAGTTAGAAAGTTTGTGTGCATGATGAAGTTTATTTTCTGTTTTTCGCTCTTTATAGAGATCTGCTATTTGCTTGCATAAAAAGGGCAGGGTGGAGTATCTAGTAGAGAGAAATACTTGAGATAGAACTAATTCCAGCAAAGAATGGGCATCGAGAGATTCATTTCCAGGCATTTTCCCCAGATATGTTACCTATAAATCATCCCACAGGATATGATTTTATCTGTTTTTTCATCATCTTTTGGGAAGTGAGTCATAATTTCAAAGTTGGAATCATATAAGATAACAGAGTAAAAGGTTTTTGGCAGTACAAAGGCCTGTTAATATTCTAAGCACATTTAATAGGCTGAAGTAAGGTATGATTTTTTTTTTTAGGTTAGATGTTTTTGGTACATTTTTGGTTTAACAGTGTTTTCAGCTTAAATGGGTTTATTGAGATTCATCATAAATTGAAGAAGATTTGTGCATAGAAAACTTATGGAAAAAATCATTTCTTAACAGTTGTTTCTTCTGAAGTTGAAATCATTTGGAGACACATCAATGCATTATTTTTATTTATAAGTTAATTTGTGGTGCTGGGGATTGAACCTAGTTCCTCACTCAGGTGACCCACACCTTCTACCACAAAATCAAATCCCAGGCTCTACTGATAAATTTGAGAGTGGTTAGATGTTTTTTACACTGATAAGAGAATGTGCAAGTTCCTAGATTTCTGCTATCCTTGTGTTTTCTATAACTGTTTTATTTATTTTTTATCGAATCACCATGAGATACACAGTTACAAAGTTGTTCATGATTGGGCTTCAGTCATACAATGTTCCAAAACCCATCCTTTCTCCAGTGTACATTTCCCATCACCAGTGTTCCCAGTTTCCCTCCCGCCACCCACCTACTCACCACCAGCCTGCCTCTATGGGAGACACTTTTCATTCTCTCTCCTTTTCCTTTGGATATTACGATTTGCAGTAAGGGACTGAAAGTTTCATGTTTATCCCTTCGCCTACTTTCAGCACTCAGTTCTTGTCCAGAGTGATGATTTTCAACTATCATAGTGATCCCTTCTCTATCTTAATGCCCTCCCACCACCACCACCACCACCACCACCACCACTTGTGTCAAGCTTCCAGCTGTAAACCAGTCCTCCTGGACTTTGTTTCTACTGTTCAATTATTCTATGTCTGTCCCTCTCCTTCTAACTCAGCATGATACTTCCCATATCTGTCCATTTGTAAGCAAATTTCATGACTTCATTTTCCAGTGGCTGCATAGTTCTCCATTGTGAAGGTATACTGTAGTTTCTTTATCTAGTTGTCTGCTCTCAGTCTTGCGGGTTGTTTCCAGATTCTAGCTGTTGTGAATGGTGCTGCAGTGAACATAGAAGTGCAGGTGACCTTTCTGCAGTATGCTTTTGAGACCCTAGGGTATTCCCGGAAGTGGTATTGCTAGGTTGTATGGGAGCTCAATTTCTAGTTTTTTGAGGAAACCCATATTGTTTTCCAAAATGGCTGAACTAGTCAGCTCTCCCACTAGCAATGAAGGAGAGTCCCTTTCTCCCAACATCTGTTCCAGCACTGATGGTTCTTGTTCTTTTTTGATATGTTCCAGACTCTGTGGTGTGAGATAATAACTCATTGCTATGATTTGCATCTCCTTGATGATTAGTGATGTAGAGCATTTTTTCATGTGACTATTTGTATTTTTTCTTTGAGGAAGTTTTATTCATTTCTTCTACCCATTTTTTTTTGGGTGGGATTGAATTTTTTTTTCTTGTAAAGTTCTGCCAGTATTTGATATATCTTTGATATTAACCCCTTATCAGATGGGTATGGGGCAAATAATTTTTCCCATACCGTGGCTGTCTTTGTATCATTCTCAAATTTGATTGACTTTCTTCTCATTAAATTAAAAATTATCAGGAAGTTCAATCCTGTGTCTACTACTTAACAGTACAAATTGCTGAAACCAACTCTTCCTTTGTACCCTTATCTAAAAATTGGAGACTAAATAGTGTATGTCTCTAAGGATAGTAAGTAAGTAAAGGCCCTCCCGTTGATCATCGATTTGCTCGAGCGGGCCCAGTAACGTCTCCATTGGAGACTTTGTTGTTACTGTGTCTGGCATATCGAATACTCTCGGTAGCTTGCCGGGCTCTCCGAGAGGGGCGGAGGAATCGAACTCTGGTCGGCCAGGTTGGCTGCGTGCAAGGCAGACGCCCTACCCGCTGTGCTATCGCTCCAGCCCTAGTGTATGTCTCTAAGGATATCGCTCCAGCCCTAGTGTATGTCTCTAAGGATATCGCTCCAGCCCTAGTGTATGTCTCTAAGGATAGCTATAAGAATTTTTAGGAAATACTTTAGGGGCTGGAGTGATAGTGTAGCAGGTATAGCATTTGCTTCATATTCAGCTGACCTGATTTTGATCCCTGGCACCCTGTATAGTCCCCTGAAGCCCTGCCAGAAGCTTTTCTTAAGTGTTGAAAATGGAGTAAACCCTTAGCATTGCCAGGTATAGCCAGGGAAAAAAATTAAGAATAGGGCTTGACACATAGTGTCCAATATTTTGAGTTTTGAACCAGCCATTTTAAAAAAGACCTCTTCGTTGTTGTACAACAATTTCTGAGACTTATTAAGTGGAACAAAGAGTGAGAGGTATAATAAAGTACAACCCAGCTCCCAGCTTTTGCTGTTCTCCTTCCCAGGTCCCTATTGGAAGGCGAGGTCTAAGCATGGCTACTTGCTGTATGTCTGGTACCATGCTGGTCGATGCAGAGACTCTCTAGTAAGAAAGCAGACCAGATACATCCCTAAAATGCATGTGACTAGCTATAGAAACCAGCCTTTATATGATTTATTTCCAGGAGTGAGCAGTTAATTTATTTACGAACGTATCTTATAGAAAAGTCATGAAGAAATAAATATAGCGAATATTGTTTTGTCTTGCCTAATGTGTTTTATCATTAGGGTTTTTCCTGCTGCATTATTATAATAATCAGAGACTTATAATATCAAGTTATTTTATTTTTCAAAAGGGGAACATAATTTACTGTAAGTCTAATGCTGAATAAAAATAGAAATTGACAGCATCATGAATCAAAAACCAGTGTATTTTTATCCCTAGATAGACCTTTATTGCAAAAAGAAATCTAAAGGTAGACTAATTAGTAAGATTTTGGCTCACCGGAAAGTGATAAATGTGAATTTATTTGAAAGAAGATTAAATTATATGACTGAAAGCTTTTTGTCAAGTGAATTCTCTTTCTCCAAAATACTGCTATAAAAGATTTTGTGATAGATTATAAATTAGCAAACTCTTATCTATCAAACTCTGTTCCTTCAATAGGATTCTTGGGATGGCCAGCATATTCCAGTACTTTTCTCCGTGTTTTGTGGCTTGTTAGTAGCAGTATCCTATCATCTCAGCAGACAAAGCAGTGACCCATCTGTACTTTTGTAAGTAAAATCAGTTGTTAGTAAATAAAAGAAATCTAAGCAGCTTGGCATTTCTTTCAAATTCAGCTTCCAAATTCTGTTTCCCAATGCTTTGCCAAAGTGCCCTTGAGTTAATTCGTATTTGACATCAAAATATGTAGCTTTGTAATACTGTAGCTGGATCTTTGGTAATGAGTAGTATCAAACTGTGCTCCTATACTTCTATAGTATTGTAATCCAGTACTCAATGAATTAAATAAAAAGACATACGTTTTTAAAAATCCGGTTTGGAAATTTAAAAAATATATTAACTTTGGGGCCAAGCAGATAGCTCAAAGGGCTGGAGTGCATGCCTGGCTCTGAGACGCCTGGAGTTTGATCCCTGGCGTGGTGTAGCATGCACCATTGGGGGAAGCTGGTGGAGCTGAGTGTGGGCGCCTGGGCTTAGGAGGCTCCCTCAAAATACAGTCTTGTTTCATTCTAACCACTTCAGCTGCAAGTATTTGTTAGCTCCTCCAAATGGTCTGAGTGTTAAAAAAGAATCTTGCAATAGAAATATTCTCACCATGTGCTAATATATGGCATCTTAAACTTTTTAGAGGGCTCGAGCGGGCCCAGTAACGTCTCCATTGGAGACTTTGTTGTTACTGTGTCTGGCATATCGAATACTCTCGGTAGCTTGCCGGGCTCTCCGAGAGGGGCAGAGGAATCGAACTCGGGTCGGCCATGTTGGCCGCGTGCAAGGCAAACGCCCTACCCGCTATGCTATCGTGAGGGCTGGAGTGATAACACAGCGGGTGGCTGGAGCGATAGCACAGCGGGTAGGGCGTTCGCCTTACAAGCGGCCAACTATGGCTGACCCGAGTTCGATTCCTCCACCCCTCTCGGAGAGCCCGGCAAGCTACCGAGAGTATTCGATATGCCAGACACAGTAACAACAAAGTCTCCAATGGAGACGTTACTGGGCCCGCTCGAGCAAATCAACGATCAACGGGAGGGCCTTTATCTTTTACCTTTTAAACTTTTTAGAATTTATTACTTGCTAATAATCAAATATCCTGGAATCACTTGTTTTTCTGTCTTAAAAGTTTGCCATTTGAAACACTACTGGATATTCAGCTTATTAATTTTTCTCTCCTTCTTTAAAAAACATGTCAAGCTCTTTGGTGCAATCCAAGATTTTTCCAGAAACAGAAGACAAGAATCCAGAAGACCCTCTGTCTGAAGTAAAAGATCCACTGCCCGAAAAGCTTCGAAATTCTGTTGTAAGTTTTAGCTTTTCAAAGTCACCATGCAGACTTACAGTTCAGACACTCCATCGTGTTGTATAACCAACACTTTTTGAATAATAGAGGGGGGTAATAATGTAGTTATGTACTTTAATGATATGTGTACACATGTGTGCATATTGTTGACCATCTTCATTTCAAATGTCAGCATGCATAAAAGAAATGCTTGTGTATTCCTAAACTTCATTTTAATGTAGAGCAGTATGCTAAACATTGATTTGTTGTTGTTGTTGGGAGGGAGGGTATCAGGTGAAATTAAGTCATACCAGTATAGAATTCTTTGTGATTTTTTTTTTTTTTTGGTGTGTATTTTTTCTTGGGGGCGAGGGGGTTCTCAATCAGTGGTTGTCAGGGGATACTCCCCGATCTAGTGCTTAGGGATCCCTCTCAATTGTGCTCTAGAGCCTTGTGGTGTCGGGGATCAAACCCAGGCCTCCTGCAAGCAAAGCCTGCATTTCATCGCCATGAGTTATCTCTCTGGCCCACCGTGTAGAATTCTTAATCCTACTTGACCTCAAGTAGGTTTGAAAGGTGTATGAAAGTTAACATAAATTAAATTGATTTTTATTGTTTTTGTTGATTAAAACTGTCTTTGTGTGGCCAGAGTGATAGTACAGGGATTAAGTCACTTACCTTAGACACAGCTGACCCGGGTTCTAGCACCAGTACCCTGTATGGTCCCCTAAACCCATCAGGAGTAATATAGTAAGGTATTTCTAAATATATCTTAAAAATATAAATGGTAACTTGACCACCAAATATTTTAAGAGGTTTTTGGTCTTTCCCGCTAAGAGAACTAAAATCTAGTATGTGAAATATGCATACTGTTACATCTCAAAAGACAATGAAAATTCTACTTTTTATCCAAATGGATATGTGACAAATGATATAGTTACAACCTCATTTTTTCTCCTAATGTAAAAGCAAAATGTTATACATTGTATATAGTTTGTCTAGTTTAATTTCCTTGCAATTGCGATTTTACTGTATAAAATATAAGGAGACTGAGTAAGAGAATAAGACTTTTTGTAGCTAGTTTGTGTAAGCAATATCTTGTGGTACTAAAGAATTGGAAGAGTAAATATAATTCTTGATCCCCTAGTTGGGAATAAAGGAAAGATTCATTAAAGTGTGTGTGTAGTTGGTAATTCCGTTTTGTTTCCCAGAGCGAGCGTTTACAGTCCGACCTGGTCGTGTGCATCGTGATTGGCGTGCTCTACTTTGCTATTCATGTCAGCACCGTGTTCACGGTACTGCAGGTAAGGAGCCACCTTGTTCTTTTGATGGAGGGAAAAGAAGTCCAGGTTCACTTCCCATTTGACCTTAAATAATGAAATGATCCAACTCTTTGTTTGATCTTCATGATAGAACTCGTTTTCTAACTGTGTCTCTTGAATGGCTGATCTGGGAGTGCCCCGCTCTGAGGAGCTAGCGTCAGTCTCATGCTTCGCTGAGACTGGAGAGACAGCTTTGGTGTCTTGCTGATGAATTGTTGCCAACACCTTGGTTCCCTTCTGCCTAGTTCCTGCTATGGGCTGGCAGCTGGAGTACCCCAGTCATTGGTCTTCCAGGGAGAAAGTCTTCTGATATTTGTTTTGTTTTTTTGTTTTTTGTTTTTTGTTTTGTTTTTGGGTCATACCCGATGATGCACAGGGGTTACTCCTGGCTCTGCACTGAGGAATTATCCCTGGAAGTGCTCAGGGAACCACCTGGGATGCTGGGAATCAAATGCAGGTTGGCTGCATGCAACGCAAACGCCCTACCTACTGTGCTGTTGCTTCAACCCCAGTCCTCTGATATTTGATGTCAGGTGTGACCTGTCATCGTTTCTGTTTCAGTGGGTCATAGGGGACACACTGGAATATTGTACAGAATGCAATGCAGAAGGGCGGTGCAGGCATAAATACCCAGAAGTGGATTTAGGGGAAGCATGTTGGCTGCCACTGTGCTCCCCGGCCCTCTGATTCGCTTCCCTCCATATGCAGAAATGCACCTGTCCCTCTAAAGGTCCCCAGATCCTCAGCCCATCCAGTACAGCTGTGAGTCTCTACAGCTGCTTCAGGTCCAGGTTGGGGGAGGTGCCTCCCATGTGGTGCCCTCCCCGCTTACAGCCCTCGGGGTCCTGCCTTCCCTCCCACCTCCCCCTGCAGGTTCCTTTCCACTCCCACCCCTGCAAGATTTGGTGTGGTCCAGTTTGTTCCTGGTATCATGGATTCTAGTGAGCCTTCACAGAATTGGCATCATAATTTTGTGCATGGAGTAAATTGACTCTGTTGTCTAGTTTTAATCAACTTTGAAAAATTTTTCCCATTCTTACATTAAATACTTTTTCCCTTTCTTCTCTTCCCTCCTCTCCGCTCCCCCACATATGCCATTGAGCAACTTTGTCTTAGTCCTGTTAAGGGGGGTCCTGTAACTTCTGGTGATCCGATTTGTTTTTCTTTGTGGCTTTAATTTTGAATACTTTGTACTGCTCTGCTACTTAGCTCACCTTTCATCTATAATAGGGGGGGTTTACCACTAATCTCTTTTACAGGATCTTTCACCCAAGACATTATTATTATCTTAGAAGTTTGATTTAGGTTTTTCTTTCCATTTTATTTTTTAATATCTCTCTTGCCTCTATGTAACTTTTGAATATTTAGAATTGTGTTCTAACTTTTTTTAAATGTCCTTGTCTCCTAATTTTGATTTTGTGTTACCGATGATTTAGTTTATACTTTTCTTTTTCTCCCTTCAAGGATTATAGTCTTTGCACGTGAAATTTTTTTTATGGGATGCCAGCCATTATAAATCTACCTTGTTGGGTGTTAGATAATTTAACATTTATAGAAATACTCTTGAGCCTTCTCTTTTCAGCACTGTTATTTGTTAACAGTTGTATTCCTTTAATTCTTAATTTTAAGATTTGTTGGTTGGGACCAGGACCAACAGTCTCCCAGCGGGCATCCTGTTCTCAGTGCTTCTACCATTGCCCCATGAATTGTGAGCTTTTGTGTCTAACTTGGGGGAACAGGCACGGTTTTAACGGCTGTGTAATGCTCGTCTTATGTACTCTTTCACAATCACTGCTGAGTTCCCTGAATTCTCAAGGGAGAAAGGCCCTCCACAGCTCTTCAGAGTTCTCAGGCCTGCTCTTTCCTCTTTACTGTGCTGTCCTTTTTGGTGAACACTGACCGCCTTTGGACCCGGGTCTTCCTGGCTCCCAGCTCCATCTGCTCAGCTGGTGGGACTCTGGGCGTCATGGTAGGTTCCTTAAAGCTCTGCAGCTAGGAAGTCCTCTCAAGGCTATAGGCACTGTGTCGTCCTCAAGCTGTCCACAGCTTCTCCTTTCTCTCAGGGGTCACTGGCTTTCTCCTATTGGGAACCTTTGGTTCATATTTTAATTTCTTGTTGTTTTATCTGGGTGAATAAATTTCTGATACTCTGTTTAGCCAGGAACACAGGTTGTGCTAGTTCACTTAACATTTTTCCCTGTTTAGTTCCCCCCCCACACACCTTCTTCCATTTGAACCCCCAAACACTCAGAGCTTAGTAAAGTGCAGTGGCTCATCAGGGCCCCAGTGGGGACTCATCTTTGTCCAAGACATTCTAGAGTTTCTAAATAGAAGATTTCCAAATGGACCATTTGGTGTGATAACTAAAATAACTAACACACTTTGTTTATTTTTGTTTTGGGACCACACTGCCTGTACTCGACTTATTCCTGGGTCTGTGCTCAGAGATCACTCCTGATGCTGCTCTGGGAACTATATGAGGGGCTGGGGATCAAACTTGGGTCAGCTACGTGAAAAGCAAGAGCCTTACCCATTGTGCTACCTCTCAGGCCCACTAACATCTTTGCAAATATCTGTAATACAGGGACCAGGAGGTAGCTCAACATGCTGAGCACATACTTTGTGTGCGGAGGCCAAGGTTGGCCCCCAGCACTGCACTGTCCCCCAAGAACTGCCCTGAGCAGCCCCCTGAGAACAGAACTGGGAGGAGGCCCTAAGGAACACAAGGTGTGACCCCGCTCCCCTCAAGCCAAATAAACAAATCTGTAATACATTAAAGCTCACTTCATTAGCCGATTTTAATTTTTAAAATGACGCAGTAGGGAAATGTTTACCGTCGACAGTTCTTAGACTCCAAAATCAGCTTGGCTGTTTTCTGTTGTCAAATGGAAACTCATGTGGCAGATCAGAGGTCCTCCTTTGCTCGGGAGGTTATTTCTGGTTCTCTCAGCTCTTCTTTCCTTCCAGCCTGCGCTCAGGTATGTGCTGTACGCCCTGGTGGGCTCCGTGGGCTTCCTGACCCACTACGTGCTGCCTCAGGTCAGAAAGCAGCTCCCGTGGCACTGCTTCTCCCACCCTCTGCTGAAGACGCTCGAGTATAACCAGTATGAAGTTCGAAGTAAGTGGTCTCGTGGTACTTTCTGAATATGGCAGAAATTTCCTCTTGTTCTGTTGACAGATGGTTCCATTTCAGTACCCGCCATACTTTGATTGGTGTGGCCCTGTACCTTGGTTTGAAGCTGCCAAGAGTTAAGCCTCAGTTTCCAGTCGAGGTATGAATGTCACCGCTGCAATGCCAGCTTTCCACGGGAGGGATCTTAGGTCTCCCTTTGACTGACCTCTGCAGCTCTCTCATTGGTGAATCTCTCTGTGGATGTCAGAGACTTCTCTTTCCACTCCCTTACTTTTTCCCCCCATGGCATCTGCTGGCAACCCAATCCCCTTTAAGACTTCCCTTTGAAATATTAAAGTTTAGGGATTATGTAAGGATCATTGTTCCTGTTTCTATAAGAGAAGTGTATAAAAGATGATGCAGTTTCTGGAGAGGCAGTTCAGGGGTTAAGGTACATTTCTGGCATGTAGCCAACCCTGATACAATCCCTGGCATCATGTCGCTCTTCCAAACATCCCCGGTTGCAGCTCTGGGGATCCCAAAGCACTGCCAGGCTAGTCCGTGGAATCCCTGCCTCTTAGGGATCTGAGTGTCACTGTATCCTCTGGCCTTGGCTTTGAACTGCAAGCATGGCTGGCCAAGAATTTCAGGGAGCCCTCCTACCCCCAACTCCAGAGCTTTTGAGTACCACTTGGGTGGCAAAACGGTTTTAAAAGCCTGTTGTTCATTTAGAATTGTGGTAAAGTATCAAGTGACTTGTCAGCCATAGAAGGCCAGTCACCTCAACAAGTTTCTAATTTATTCATTCATTTGCATTGCTGGGATCAAACCAGGGCATCCCCATGTGAGGTATGTGCTCTGCCATTGAGCCCCTTCCTGCTCTCTGTTTTCTAAACCCTGACTTCCATGTTAAAAATATAGTTTTGGTTCATGGCCTGTAATATACAATAATTCCTCATTTTAGGGAAATAAGTTCTCATTTAGGTTATCAGTTATTATATATAACATACCTATTATTGAATAAGCTATTTTTCTTCAGCTATTGAATTTTGTAGAGAGCAACTCCTCAGTTGTTTGAAGATAAATGAATAGCTTCTAGAGAACTCCAAAGTAGTTGAGAGTGCTGTATACCAATCTTGACTTTGCATTCTCAAAACAAGTATCTTGCACCTTTTAGCAAAATTGAACAGAGTATGAAGATTGATCAGCAATTTGATTCTGAAGATATAATTAAACTCTTATCTCTTGGTTATAGTAATAGCATTGTACTAGCCTTTTACTTAATTTATATTCTTAATTAGGGAAAAGCAACATAAGACATATATATGAGCCTGTACCAGTCTGTTCTTACCATCAGAAAAATAACCCAGAGTGATATTTATTTCAATGGTAAACTATTAATTTTCTTTTCAAATAGAAGTGATAGCAAGTGATCTGTTTTGTTCAAAAGCAGCAGTTTTCGTTAAAGTACATCATTCAGTTCAGTTTTTATCTTAACGAAAATTTCGTCAAAATTTTTACAGAGTTGAGTGAACTTAACATCCATAACTTATTGAAAGTACTCGGTCTTAGCAAAGTTAATTTTTCCCCTTATAATAATTAATTTTACCAACTGGAAGAAAAATATTTATTAGAGAACATCCAACAGATAGATCTGAAGCAGTGATACTGCTTTCAGGTAGCTGAAGAATCTTCTTTTAAATTGAAATACCAGAAAGTTAGGGACTTTAGCAATGATACAGCAAGGCAGGGTTCTTGCCTTGCGTGTGGCCAATCCAGGTTTGATTCCCAACATCCTGTATGGTCCCTTGAGCCCTGCCAGGACTAATCCCTGAGCATAGCCAGGGATGGCCTCAAAACAAACAAATAAAATCCTTCAACTTATCCTAAATGCTTTCCCCATTGAAATAACATTAAAATATCAGGGAAAAAATATTACCAGCAGTGAGAAGGACTCATGTAATATATAGATTTAAAACAATAATGTTTTTATCTCTGTTCTGATCTATTATATCTTATAGTATGTTGAATGTGTGTAAGTTTAAGAATTTTAAAAGGAGATAGTTTCATAGTTTGGGTTTTGGAGGATAATGATAATCTCATAATCTTTAGTAATTTTTTCTCCAAGTTCCAGCCAGTCATAAATGACAAAGTTTAAGCTGAAATTTATCTAAAATTAAGTCAGATATGTTACAAATTTAGATGTCTCAGCATCATAGGAAGTGAGTACTGACTGATGTAATATGTATCTTACATTATTTATGATAGATCTGAATGAGTCGTAAGAGTTTTCTCCTTTTCCATCCCATTGCTGAACCTTTTTGTATGGTAGATGACATGCATTTCTTTATTTACACTCTCTTATTAGATGCAGCCACTATGATGTGGTTTGAGAAACTTCACGTGTGGCTTCTGTTTTTGGAGAAGAATATCATCTATCCATTGGTTGTTCTCAATGAACTGAGTAGCAGTGCAGAGACAATTGCTAGTCCAAAAAAACTGGATACAGAGTAAGTACAATACTCCTCAAATTTAAGTTTTGACTACTGGGGCTATCTTGAGCTATGTTTTAAGTTATTGAGCAAGTACCATAATCTTTAAATAATTCTTAGGTGTGTCGCACTGGGCTGGAACGATAGCACAGCGGATAGGGCGTTTGCCTTGCATAGAGCTGACCTGGGTTTGATTCTTCCGTCCCTCTCGGAGAGCCCAGCAAGCTACCAAGAGTATTCCACCCACGTGGCAGAGCCTGGCAAGCTCCCCATGGCCTATTTGATATGCCACTAACAGTAACGTCTCACAATGGAGACGTTACTGGTGCCTGCTTGAGCATATCAATGAAAAATGGGAGGACAGTTCTACAGCGTGTTTTGTCTGGTTACAGTGGCACTGAGTATAAAAAACTTAAGGCCAAACTTTATTTTTTACTTCCTTTTCATGAGCACCTACTTCTACTCATGGCATATTGCTACCCCAGATATCTTATTTTCAATCTCATTTTATAAGAGGACATTTGTAAAATGAATTTAATTTTTAATATTAAATGGCTAAGTTTGGAGACAGCTATCCTGTGTGCTATATACATTGTCTACATCTCCTAGGTGGTCATTTGCCTATGCAGTCATCTGATAGGCCTGTCCTTTATCACTGTTTCCCAGTTGGGACTTAGTCTTTCTGGAGCGAGGGGCATTGGAATGATCCTGGGGGGTGGTAGTAGCCTCTGGTGCAGTTGGGAAGGCAGTATCCGTTCAATTATAGAAAGGAGATTTTTCAGAGAGGTGCTGAATAATTTGTTTCTGAAGAGAAAGTAGTAATCTAAATACATTGCAATAGAGTAAGTACATAAAAATAGTTTGGATAGATACAGTTTTTATTGGATATGTAGTTGAAATGATTGTATTTGAATATTTCTAATTTATATTGATACATATTAAATTTGGACAGAGCCTGGCAAGCTCCCCGTGACATGTCCAATGTGCCAAAAACAGTAACTGTAACCGGTCTCATTCCCCTGACCCTGAAAGAACCTCTAGTTGTTGGGAAAGATGAGTTAGGAGAGGCTGGTAAAATATCAGGGCTGGCACGAATAGAGATGTTACTGGCGCCCACTCGAGTAAATCGAGGAACAACGGGATTACAGTGAAGTTCATATCGGTGGGTAAGCATTAATGTGGTTTCACATGCGAAATATCATTGTTATAAAGCAATGGGGAACTGGAGACCCAGATGTTTGGATTGTTACTTAATGTAAATGTATGTATTTATATAAAGGTTAAGATTAATAATATACATTCTTAGAGGGAAATATCAGTGTTAATTAGAATGTGGTGTTAGCTAAATAAATTGCTGTGGACATTTAAATTATATATATATGTATGTATAGTAAGTTTATTATATAAAGTTTAGGAAATTAAAGGCGATTTCTCTGAAGTTAGGTTTTGTCAAGTTTTTCTTCCTTGTGTGCTGAGCTGGGCTGTTTTTATTTCATAGGTTAGGTGCTTTGATGATCACCATTGCTGGTCTGAAGCTGCTGCGGTCCTCTTTCAGCAGTCCCACATATCAGTATGTCACCGTCATTTTCACTGTGCTCTTTTTCAAAATTGACTATGAAGCGTTCTCAGAGACCATGCTGCTGGATCTCTTCTTCATGTCTATCCTCTTCAGCAAGGTAACTTCTCCCCAAGAGGAGTATCCTCGTCTGTGAAAAATATCTCCCTTAGTAATCTGCTGTTTCGGTGAAGGGTGTGCTTGCGTTTCATGTGCTTCCTCTCCTTTTGAGTAACATCTCTTCATCGACCGGCCAGTTATTTTGGAGGTAATTAGAATCCCTAGCCAACGGTCGTCACTATGATCAGGAAATAAGATCATATGGAAAAATTAGAGGAACACTAGTAAGTGTATAATGAAATATATATATATATGATAAGTGAATAATATTAAATATATGTGATCTTCCAAAAGGGAATGTGATTTTGAATAATTGTAGAGATCAAAGTGCTAATTCTTGAATTGGGCTAGATAGGTGTGGGAAAGAGATGTGACTGAGTGCTTGAAAGGGGTCATTTCTCAGAGCAGCACGACCATGAGGAATCAGAAATGGGTGTGATGATGACCTGGGCAGGGTGCTTTCAGGTTTGCAGAATGCTTCCAAAACCTACTATCCACCCACTAAAAAAGGTGTCTTTTGGTCATTTTATAAATGGGATGGGAGCTTTCCAGCCAAGAATATTTTTTTCTGACTCACACTACCTTTCTATAATAACATAGATTGTGCGATCAGATTATGTATAAAATTCAGAGACCTTAGATTTCATGTGAACACTGACAGCATACTAAGGACTTCTGACTCACACTACCTTTCTATAATAACATAGATTGTGCGATCAGATTGTATATAAGATTCAGAGAGCTTAGATTTCATGTGAACACTGACAGCATACAAAGGACCTTGGCATACATATTATCCCATTTGTTAGGCAACAGTGCTGAAGCAAAATATGCAGCTACAGAACACAAAGAGTGCTCCATTTTATGAAGGTTAGTCTGGTCAGCTACATTTGGGATGAATTGGGGAAGAGAACCTAAAGATCTGGAGAATAGCCTAAGAGATTGGTGATAGTCATTTAGATGTGATAGAGGAAACCCACATGGGAAGTATCAGTGGAAGACAATTCACCCAAACAAGGTGCCAACTTCAAAGTATGGTGATATCTCTAAAATGTTGCAGTATTTTATTTGCTATGTAATTCATACAAATTTTTATCATTTATATTACTTTTTTTTCTAGTGAGCATGGTTAATCAAAGGAGGGAGTTAGACAATTAGAGAATTTTTTGTATACAGAAGCATGTGCTTTCTCAGAAATTTAAATATTTAGGTTGAAAATTTATTGCATGTAATTATACTGGTTTAAATAAGTAAAAGCTGAAATAAAATATAAGTTCATCAGTTCTTGAAATAGTATCACTAGACTTCATTTTAATTAGTCTAAATGTTCTTCATACTTTCATTTCTTAGGGAAAAAAATTTTTTTTAGGAAAAGTTTTTGAGAGCTAGTACATTCTAGAACTTTTACAAATCCTTAGGCTACTTTGGTAAAGAAAGCAGAAAACTCTGCTATTGTGCTTTTTGCATTTTATATGGTTGCTTGATAGAAATTAAGAGTGATAATGAGCAAGTGAGAGTTAAAAAGATTTCTTTAGAAACATTATTTAAGATATCCTTGGAAGATGCAGCATTGATTCACTCACCTTTCCAAAAACTTCTAGAAATAGAAATAAAAGATATACCCACGATCCATTTACCTACATAATTGCCTATCATTTTCTTCATTATTACAGTTAAAAGTTGGTGCAGTTTCATTTCACATTTAGAATTTAGTTTTCTAAATTCTGAATCACTGCCTTTAAGCAGTTGTGATGGCATCTTGATGACATGCTCTTAGAGAGACAAGAAAAATGCCTGTCATAGAGGCAGGCGCTCAAAGGGGTTGGGGAGAGGTGATGGCGGGAGGGAAACTGGGGACATTGGTGGTGGGAAATGTACACTGCTGAAGGAATGGGTGTTGGAACATGATATGACTGAAACCCAAAAACCCAATCATGAACAACTTTGCAACTGTGTATTTTACGGCGATTCCATTAAAAAAATTAAAAAATAAAAAGATAATATGCTCTTGCTTTTACTTGCTGTCATCCTGATTACATTAGTGCTGAGAATTGCCAGGGTAGTTTTGCCTCAGCAAAGAAGACAGGGATTTGTCTGCAAGTTCTATTTGGGTGACACTGGTTCTTTGTTAAATTGGAAGTTGCGCAGTTGCTTTGCAAATGAACTAAATGATTAAAAGAGGAAGTATTGGGGCTGGAGCGATAGCACAGCAGGTAGGGCATTTGCCTTGCATGCAGCCAACATGACTGACACAGGTTCGATTCCCAGCATCCCATATGGTCCCCCAAGCACTGGCAGGAATGATTCCTGAGTGCATGAGCCAGGAGTAATTCCTGAGCATCGCCGGGTGTGACCCAAAAAGCCAAAATATAAATAAAAGATGAAGTATTTAGTGTTTGAATTTTAACTCAGGATTGGTTAGAATCTCTTGCTTTTAAGCTTCTGTGATCTGTTTGGACATTTGTCCCTCCATTGGCTAGCATGCAGAGAAAGTTTTGGGTAAACACGCTATGTCAGTGTTGAAGACAAGTTCAGTAGCAAAAGGAGGTCTTAATTTTAATAAGTAAGTAAAGTAAAGTAAGTGAAGGCCCTCCCGTTGATCGTCGATTTGCTCGAGCGGGCCCAGTAACGTCTCCATTGGAGACTTTGTTGTTACTGTGTTTGGCATATCGAATACTCTTGGTAGCTTGCCGGGCTCTCCGAGAGGGGCGGAGGAATCGAACTCGGGTCGGCCATGTTGGCCGCTTGTAAGGCGAACGCCCTACCCGCTGTGCTATCGCTCCAGCCCTATTAATTTTAATAAGTCTTATTAATTTTAATAAGACTTATTAATTTTAATAAGACTAATAATATGTGTGTTGTGTTTCCATTAGACAGAATCTAACAAACACTACTGAATTCTTAGGTAACCGGCAATGAGAAGAGATATTATCTTAAAACCCTGCTTTGCTACTTTTACATTACTTTTGACAGTGTTTTTAAAATATGCTCAGTTTTCAGAACACTAAAATGTGAAGAAAGTAGGCCTGAGAATAAAAGTATATTTGTATTACTTAAGTTTGTAAGATATATAACTTAATTCCCATTGTTTTTGTATAATAGTAATATAGTCAGTAGAGAACAGAATTTTTTTTTTAATTTAGTTCATTGTTTTTCCTTAGAAATCTATACAATATTTCGGCTGTTGATATAGCTTCTTATTTTATGCAAGCGGAAAATAATTTAAATGCCATTTCCTTGTTAGAAAAGAAATTTTTATTTTCTAATTCGGTTACTGTATGATGTATTTTCACTAATTGTTCTTGTTTTCCTTCTACAGCTTTGGGAACTCCTTTATAAATTACAGTTTGTGTACACCTACATTGCCCCATGGCAGATTACATGGGGTTCTGCTTTTCATGCTTTTGCTCAACCCTTTGCAGTGCCACGTATCCTTCTAAATGAAATTTTTAAAAGAATGGGAAGGCGTAACCTGATGAGAGTGTTGATTTGTAAAAAGAGGGTTAGAATGTGTTGCTAGATTTTATATGACAAATTACCAAAAATTAACAATCTTGGGGTTGTAGAGATCGGAGAGTAGGTACAACCTTTCACGGAGCCAGCTCAGGTTTGATCCCCCAGCAGTCCATATGGTCCCCCCGAACCCTACCAGGAGTGATCCCTGAGAGCAGAGCTAGGAGAAAGACTTCACCACTGCCATGTGTAGTGTCCAAACAAAAGCAACAAAATCACAATCTTTTGAGTCATACTTTTACTGATTTTTAAGCGTATGTTAACATCTGTGATCACAGCTAACCTCAACTTGAGAAAAGATTTTTGGTTTTGGTATCTCATCCAGAGGTGCTCAGGACTTAGTCTATACTGAGGAACCATTTCTAGCAGTGCTCTGGGGACTTTATCTGGTATTGGGGATTGAACCTGGAATCGTCTCTGTACAAGCAAGCATCTTACCCCTGGTACTATCTCTCTTTGGTCCACCTCAGGTTTAAGGTTATGTAGTGAAGTAATGCTGATTTAGAGTGTATATTTACATTATATTCATAAAAGGAATTTTATTGTGCACACGATATAGAAATATTTTAAAGGACTAAAGATACAAAACATAATCTGTAATCATGATTGTAAATTTTCATATCTAAAATTATTCTCCCTTTATGTATAATCAGTATTTACAATTAGACCTTTATGTCCAAAATTTCTGTTCCCATCTTTTTTCTCCAGTTTGAACTGAGTCACCGTAATATACAATGTTGTTCATGAAAAGTTTCATGCACGCAATCTTCCAAAACCAAAATCATCACTGGAGTGTCCCAAGGTCCCCTCCCCTCCTCCGTCCCCCACTCTTCTTACTCTGTTCTGTAGACCAGCTCTCTTAGGCTGTTGGCTTTTCCCATTTGTTATGGCCTTACTGTGTTTCTTTATATCCCATATAGGAGAGATCATTCTGTATCTATTCCTCTCCTTCTGATTGACTTCACTCAGCCTCGTACCCCTGGTTCCTTCCTTGTAGCTGCAGATTGAATGATTTCATCTTTTCTAATTGATGAGTCAAATTCAGTCACAATTTCTTTATGCAGTCATCTGTTCTTGGACATTTGGGTTGTTTTCAGCATTTAGCTGTTGTTAATAGTGCTGCCTCAAACATAGGAGCACAAATGTCCTTTCAAGGTAGTGTTTTTGGACCCATACAACAGATGGCAAGAGGAATTGCTGAGTCATGTGGAGTGTCAGTTTTTGAGAAGTGTTCATATTGTTTTCCATAGAGGTTGATCCAATCAACATCTATTCCCATAATTTCTCAAAAATACTTTTTAGGATCAGGAATGTGGCTCAGTGATAATGTACATGCATATCTGGCATGCCTGAGACCTGGGTTCAAGTCCCTGCACCCAGGAAAGAGCTTTCAATAAGTAAAGGCTAGTCACCACATAATATTAAGCTATAGACTTTTTATATATGTTAATTTTAGTTTTAGTTTTCCAGGACATTAGACCCAAATTGCTCTTCCCAACTGTGATTAATGGACTTTTGCTCAAATACATGTTAGCAAATATTTATTTGACTTCTTTCAAATTAACATGCCAAGTTATATCCCATTTACTCTCTAATTACAACCTTCTCTGTTTTCCTCTGATGAGCCTCATCTACAAAACTGCTATAATCGCAGTACGTTTGTATGGTGTGTGTGTGCGCGCACGCATGTGTGTGCACGTGTGCCTGTGCACAGACTGAGATGAATGCTGAAATCCTTAACCAGTTTTCTGATAGATTCAGCCATGTTGTTTGTTCAGGCTGCTGTGTCAGCTTTCTTTTCTACTCCACTGAACCCTTTTCTGGGAAGTGCAATTTTCATCACTTCATATGTTCGACCTGTGAAATTCTGGGAGAGAGATTATAAGTGAGTAAAATATAACATTTGAAAGTCTATTTTTAATAAGGAAAATTATTGACAGTGTTATTCTGTGTAGTTCACGGTTAATAATTTTGTGAAATATTTTACTAAAATGTTATGATTTTTATAAAGTATGAACATTCTACAAAATTAGAAATCTTTAAAAATTATTCCGTTTTTTCTACTCACTTTTTCTGTTCTTAAGATATTTTAAGTAATTCTTATTTTAATGCTGTTTGTTAGAATTGTTTCATATTAGTAGTACTCTGAAATTTTATCTTACATAAGGAATATTATAGTTGTTAAACTTTCCCATAGCTGTTTTAGAACCAAATTATATGTTGTTTCTCTTCTGTCATGAGGTTAAGCTTTTAATGATCATCTTTGTGCACCAAGTATTTTCTCCATATAGGTATAATACCATGGGCTTAACTGTCCTTTCTCTGTAATTTCTTTAAATGTCTTTACTTTTTTTTAACTTACAAAAGAATTCCATAGAAGAGCATTTGTGAGTTTGGGAACTCAAACATTTAAAAGGTTTACAATAGTTATAGACATATAGATGCAAAAAGACTGTACATTAATTTATTATTTTACTAGACATCTCTAAGCTGCTTCTCTGCCTATATATTGCCACATACTGACACAAGCAATAGGCGAAGAGGATGATCAAATAGGTGAAGAGATTTGAAACTTCTGTCCTGGTCTTTTGTCTAAAACCGATGATGACTTTTCCCTTTTGAGTGAATTTCACTGTTACTTACATAGGACCAACTTAAACTTTTGTTTTTTTTATTTTTTATTTTTTTAACCAACTTAAGCTTTTTTTTTTTTTGCTTTTTGGGTCACACCTGGTGATGCACAGGGATTACTTCTGGCTCTGTACTCAGGAGTTACTCTGGGCGGTGCTCAGGAGACCATATGGGATGCTGGGAATCGAACCCAGGTTAGCCGCGTGCAAGGCAAACGCCCTACCCGCTGTGCTATTTCTCCAGCCCCAACCAACTTAAACTTTTAAATAATTTTTTATGTTAGGAGTGCTTTTTGGTCTTCAAATTCCTTTGTAATTGTAAAAACTATTGAAGTTTCCAAGAAGTTTGTGTTGATGGTTAGAAATCAAAACTCAGAACATTTAAAATGGGTATTAATTTAAAAATGACAATAATAGACCAATTACATATTAGCACAAATAACATAATGTAATGAGGGATAACTATTTCTTGTCCCAAAAAGAAATCAATGAGAAAAGAGCCATTGTTTACAGTTTTATAAAATTCTTTAGCATCTAGTTTAATAAAACACAGATGAGTTCTCCTGTCTGCTTTTTCATTCAATCTGTTGTTGCAGTGTGTTGTCTTAGTTAAGTATATAAAGAAAATGTGACTTCACACAAATACATAGTTGAGAAAGTATTTTAAAAGCTCTTTTAGACAGCTGTGTATATATTCCCGCCCGCATGGCAGAGCCTGGCAAGCTCCCTGTGGCGTATTCGATATGCCATAGATAGTAACAACAGTGGAGCTGTTACTGGTGCCCACTTAAGCAAATCGATGAACAACAGGAAAACAGTGCTACAGTGCTATAATCTATATATACTCTCTTTTTAATACTTCACTAAAAGTTGACAAATGGTAGTTTTCTAAAGATTAGGTGCAATATAGGATCTAGAACATCTATAATTTTTTTTAAATTTAGAACCATCAAAATCCACTGATAATTGCTTGCCTTTTGGATGGATTTTTTGGCACTCTGTAGTCTAACAGTATCACTTACTGATCACTCTGAAAATGCTGGTTCACTGAATAATTAGATATCTCTATTTTGACACACTTTATTATACAGTTAAAAATACTCATGTCTACCAGTATCAAAAGAAAAGTATTTCTTTGTTTTGTTTTGTTTGGAGGCTGCATCCATAGGTGTGCAAAGAATACACTCAAGCCCATTGAGCTTGTTCCAAAAGAAATTTGTCTACAAGTATAGTAGTGGATATAAAGTTTTTCAGAATTCTGATTTTGCATGAAAACTTTAATTGTGTTATTAGCAACTGATGTATTGTCATTTTCTTTTCTTGAAATGATACTGAACGTTATTTTAAAAGAAACATCTATCAGATACCTATCTGAATAATCATAACTCATTCTTCAACAGTTCAAATAAAAGTAATGTTCTGTGAAAAAAAAAGGCAGCTAGTGCCATTTGCCATTCAGACAGTTGCTTCAATGCTTTCCCATGAGGATGGTCAGCCCTTGGCACATCTTACTTCAGAATACAACAGAAGTGCTTTGTATGTATTTTGTCATACAAAATCTAAAAAAGATGTGATGCAGAATTGCAGTTTAATAAAACTACTATTTGTTATTGTTTCATTAAGTACCGAGGAGTTGCAGTTTAATGATTTTTTTCCTATTTGGGTAAAGGTAAAAAGGTAAAGGCCCTCCCGTTGATCGTCGATTTGCTCGAGCGGGCCCAGTAACGTCTCCATTGGAGACTTTGTTGTTACTGTGTTTGGCATATCGAATACTCAGTAGCTTGCTGGGCTCTCTGAGAGGGGCGGAGGAATCGAACTCGGGTTGGCCATGTTGGCCACTTGTAAGGCGAATGTCCTACCGCTGTGCTAGAAGGTGTTATTTGTGCCACACTCAGGGGTTCTCAGGGACCATTCCTGGCAGTGCTCAAGGGACCGAGCACAAAGTAGTGGCAGGGATTCATACCATGGTTGGCAGGATGCAAGACAAACACCTTAAGCCCTATACGTCTCTCTGGCCCCAAGATCCTGTGTTTTATTGCCTTGTCTTAAAACTTGTTTTGTTTTCTTGTACGTGAGTTGCAGTGAGAAAAATACTGGGTTTGGTGCCACTGCCTTGATTCATGTTACAGCACCAGCAATCTTCCCAACCATGCAGCTTTCAGCCCCGTGGAAAAAGGACACATAGCAGCTCAGCCTTAGGAAAATTGTTTTGGTATTGGAAACTCAATAAAAGGGTCTTAAATTCCTTGCTGTGGTTTTGTGAGCCACTTTTAAGAATCACTAATCTAAAAAATACTGTGCCACTGGATATTAATAGCTGTACCTTATTCTTTTTAAGACTGATTCATGTACTCTATACTTTTTAGAGCGTGTGTACATTGCATGTTTCTTTCATAAGGAGCAGTTTTTGTTTGTTTGTTTTTGGGCCACACCTGACGGTACTCAGGATCTATTTTTTGACTCTGCACTCAGGAAATATTCCCGTGGGGGTGACCAGAGGGGATCTAATCTGAGTCGGCTGGTGGAAGGCATGTGCCCTACACTACGTTATGTCTCTCTGGCCCCAAAGAGCAGCCCTTTTTTTCTCCTTTTTTTTTTCTCTTCTTTTCTTTTCTTTTCTCACAGTAAACTCATTCATTTCTTTTTAAAAACATTTTTTAAATATAGAAAAGTGTTACTGAAAATGTTTTATTTTGCCTTCTTTAGCACAAAACGAGTGGATCATTCAAATACAAGATTGGCTTCTCAACTTGATAGAAATCCAGGTAATACCTCTACATGTGAGTAAAGAAGCAAATCTAAAGAATTTGATGTTTACACAGACACACAAAACTTGATGGGGGAGACTGTGAGTTCTTAATGATCAGATATATATGTGTGTGTGTATATATAAATACATATATACACGCACATATATATACATGACCTTTTAAAAATCATTGTGTTTATAGTTAAGTGTATGTGAATTAGAGCATTACCATTTATATATCAAGTTTTTATAAAATCATTTTTGTAGAGTTCACCTGGGGTGACTTGGGGGCCACTCCTACCTGCCACACGTGCCTGATGGCTCAGAGCTCAGTTCACTGGGACTCACCTTTGGAACAGGCATATCAGTTACCAGAAACAGCCCTTCCATTGACTCTTAAGTCTGGGTTTTCCTGTTTATTACTTTATTACCTGATCAGGCTGAAAATTAAGTAGTTGTTGAGTATATATTCTCTAGTACAATACTCTGAGTACCTGTTATTAATTATTGCTTTGAATGGGGTATTTCTGGGTCAGTCATCCATTTATATGATAAAGAGGTGGGGAGAAGCCATAGATTTCATTTAACCCAATTCCTAGATTTTTTTTTTTAATGGATGAAAACCAAAGATTCTGAGAGTTTATGTGACTTTTAACCCTGAATTTGGAACTTCCTCCATTACCCGATATTCTGTTCTATAGAGAAATTTAAAATGCTAAATAGCGTTAACCCTTATCGAAATCTACCCATAAACTAGTTTTATTATTTTAAATAATCTTGGTGTTTTTTGTTTTTAATATAAGGGGCATTTAAGATAAGCTAAATAATGATTTTTGAATCTCTTCTTCTTTAGGATCGGATGACAACAATCTGAATTCCATCTTCTATGAACATTTAACCAGATCCCTCCAACACAGTCTCTGTGGGGACCTGCTCCTGGGACGGTGGGGAAACTACAGTACAGGGGACTGTTTCATCCTTGCCTCTGACTACCTCAATGCACTCGTTCACTTGATAGAAATAGGCAACGGACTGGTCACTTTCCAACTGCGGGGACTTGAATTCAGAGGTAAGCCATTCATTCATCTTTTATTTCTACAATGTACTCCGGTGACCTTTAAGTTTTAGATGTTTGCCTCTCATCTGAAAAGTTATCAAGTTAGGTCGTCAGTGATAGGTCAGAGACCTTACCCGGCACAGGCAGAGGAACAGAGATGAGTGAAGTGAAGAAATAGAAGAAGTTGACTGGGGTGCACTCCTGGGTGGAACGTACTGGCACCTGATGAAGTTAGGATGAGCCACACCAGAGAGGCTTAGCGGTATTTTAAATTATCTTGGGAAAAGGGAACAGAGACCAGAACTGGTGCCCATGGTCAGGCCTTCTGTTATCTGTAGGGGATGGATGTGAAGAAGCCTGCAAAGCAGCCTGGCGGCTTCCTCTCCCTGGACAGGCCTTAAGTGCTGTCTTCCGCATGGGGGCGGCGGGGTTTGGGAGAGGGGTGGGGGGAGATCTTTGATTCTGGGAATCTCATCAGCAGGTCGCCATTTGCCAGAGCAAACCTTGCACTTAGTCTTTGAAATTTTGGAAGGAGAAGAGTTATGAAAGAATAATAATAATTATTGTAATTTCCCCCAAAGTTTCATAGTCAAAAAAATTACTTTGCATTATCCAAGGATAGTATTACTTAGTGTCTAGTGAGCTGTTTTCCTAGTGGTGTTTTATTTGTTTTCTTTTTTGTGCTTGCTTTCTTGTCAGTTTCATTGTTCTTTTCATTGTATTTCCATTTTCATTTTATTGATATTCTTAAGATTCTTTTCCATACATATTATATATATTATATATCAAAGACTTGAGTTTTCAGAGGTTTTTTGTCTTGTTACCACACTGGACAATACGCAGAGTTACTCCTGGCTCTACACTCAGGAATTACTCCTGGCTGTACTCAGAGGACCATCTGGGATACCAGGAATCGAATCCCAGGTCACTCATGTGCAAGTCAAACACCCTACCCACTGTACTACTTCTTCAGCCCTGAGTTTTCAGTTTTTTAATCAAAAATTTCTTCTGGAGGGTTAGAGTGCATGTCATTCATGCATGAGTCCTGAGTTTGATCCTGGCATTACATGATCCCCAGAGAACCAGGTATCAGATAAGGGCTGATACGGGTCTGATCCTGCTGGCCCAGCACCTCAGGGCATAGACAACAGTGCTTCACTGGACCCTGCTTTGAACTGTCAGGCCTACACTATCTAAGCAGTACACTAAGTAAGCTAAGAATTTGCTCCTGCGTACTGCTAGGGAGGTCCTCTCAATTTTTTTCCTAATTATAGATTCTCCCATATTAACTTTTTATTTGTAAATGTTACTTCTATCAAGTAAACTTTTCCAAATCTAAATTTATAGATCAATAACTTATTTTGGTGATTGGATTGCTTTTTTCACTCAAAATCATGGTTCTTTAAATTTAAAAAAAATTAAAATGATTTTTATGTGTATAATTGCATATTTGTTGGTTTTATTTGCTTTTACTCATATTATACACTATGCTGTGAAGAGGATAAAGACCTAGATAACCCAAGAAACACATTGGAAAGTTTTTTATTGATATTTTAGAATTCCTTTCCTGGTCTCAAAATTCCTTTTCAGTGGACCCAGGTTTGATTCCTCTGTCCCTCTCGGAAAGCCCGGCAAGCTACCGAGAATATGCCATCCACATGGCAGAGCCTGGCAAGCTCCCCGTGGCATTTCGATATGCCAAAAACAGTAACAAATCTCACAATGGAGATGTTACTGGTGGCTACTCGAGCAAATCGATGAACTGTGGGAGGACAGTGCTACAGTGCTACAGTATTGGTTACTATGCTGATTTAAAAAAATTTTTTTTAACCAATATGTGTTATTTGGATATGTTGGAATAGAAATTATTCTTTGTGTTTATTAGATTTAAAACATCTCACATTCAGTCATTCTATAGCCTAAAGTCTTGGACTGGGTTCTAGAGACCCGACAAAGTAAAATGAAGCAGGAACATTTTAGACCTAAAGAATAGATTCAGCTTCATGGCACAATCTGAAAAACCCAGGCTCGAGAAGTTTCTTCTAGAAACTTAATTTTTCTGTCCTTAATAAGGTTTTTTCTAGTACTTGGGTAAAGAAGGAAACTTTCTCAAGACATTTTACAAAGCTGATATAAAACTGATGTCAAGATATGACTAACTGCCTAAGTCACCATCATTTAATTATGACTGTAGATGCTAGAGTGCTCAGAACCCAGAAAAAAGCATAAACTAGTCTAGCCTCTATCTGGTACCCTAATAATTTCATCGATTTGCTCGAGCGGGCCCAGTAATGTCTCCATTTTTGAGACTTGTTGTTACTGTGTTTGGCATATTGAATACATCACGGGTAGCTTGCCAGGCTTTGCCATGTGGGCAAGATACTCTCGGTAGCTTGCCGGGCTCTCTGAGAGGGGCGGAGGAATCGAACCCGGCTTGGCTGGGCTGGCTGCGCGCAAGGCAAACACCCTACCGCTATTCTATCACTCCAGCCCACCCTAACAATTTAGCAATTTTTTAAAAATTAATTCAGGTATTGAAAAAAATGAATAGAAATCATCTTTCAATGATGCACAGGTTAAGGAAAAAAAAAGCCATCACCTAATATGGTCTTTTCAAAAGATACTAGAGAGATGTTTGATTAAGTTCCACTTTCATTTTGAGTTTAGAAAAGTACTTTATGAGAGTGCCAAAGTGTTTTTTTTAATATATTTTTTTAAATTTATTGTTGAATCACCATGAGAACAGTAACAAAGCCTTTCAGTTCAAGTCTCGGTTGGTCATACAATGATCAAACACCTGTCCCTTCACCAGTGCACATTCTCCACCACCGAGAACCCCAGTATACCTCCCTCCCACCCGCCCCCCACCTGTGTGGCAGATTTCCACTTTACTCTCTCTTTACATTGCCAAAGTGTTTATTCTGAAAATCTGTGTGATTCTGTTTGTGGTCACGGCCCCTCCACATGGGCAGACACAGCAGAGGGTACTGCAAACACCAGGTTCTGGTTTCAAGACTTGTTTCCTTCTATCATCCGGTAATGCTCTGGAGAAGTTTGTCTGTGTAATTTAAGGAGAAAGTGAAATAATGGTGGTGTTGGGGGTCCCGAGTATCAAATATATATTGCTCCTTCTCTTGGCCAAGTCTTATCGCTTCAGCTGATCTTTGTTAATCCTAACCAGGGTTAGGCTTTGTGACATTCTTTTTTCCCCTCTCAAAATGATGTTTTTCAAACATATATTGTGTGTGTTCCCTCCCCTCCCTTCCCCACCCCTCAGAGGAAGAAAATGTTCATTCTCAGTTATTATTTCTAGAATGAAACTTTAAGACGTGCCTTTATGAAAGTATAATAGAGAAGTTGCTCAGGAGTGAAGGAGCTTGCTTTGCATGTGGCCAAACCCTGCTCAATCCCTGGTACCACATATTGTCCCCTAAGCACCACCAGGAGTGGGCCCTATCCCACCCCTGCACAGAGCCAGGAGTGACCCCTGAGCATTGCTTGGTGTGGCTCAACTCAATCCTTAAACTGTAATCACTTTATAGTTCTCATATAACATAAGCAACTTAAAAACTAAACGGAAGACCATTGAATAATAAGAGGAATGTGATGAATAATACTTAGCTGGTACTAGAGTGCTGTCGATTTGATTCTATATTTAACCTGATTTCCTATTTTTAATTTAGCATTAATACAAGAATGCCTCTTTGATAGATGTGTTGTATAGAAGAATGTAATTTCACAGAATTCTTTGGTAATATAGAACAATCAAAACTCTTTCACCTGAACTCTTACGCCAAAAAGATAGTTGCCTTGCACCTGACCAAACCCTGATTCAGTCCCCTGCACTGCATATGATCCCCAAGCACCACCAGAAGTGATATCTGAGCATAATAAGTCTTGAGTACCACTATGGTGGCCCCAAAACCAAACAAACAAAACTCTTACACCTAACTGAAATTTTGTCAGAAGGTAAGCCTCAAATATCAATAATCTAATCTTACTCAATTACTGTTAGAACCAGCAATAGGGAAAATGTATTTAGTATTATAATGATAACCATTATAAATCATATACCACATCAGCTTGATTTATAGAATATTTTTATTGTATCATGAACTTGGTATCAGTAAATAGTACTCAGATTCTTTTGATTTTGTTTGGCATGTTTGTCTATATCATGTGTCCTAGGATGATTCTGTTCTTGTTTTTTTGTTTTGTTTTGTTTTACTTTTTGGGTCACACCCGGCGATCCTCAGGGGTTACTCCTGGCTTTGCACTCAGGAATTACTCCTGGCGATGCTCAGGGGACCATATGGGATGCTGGGAATCGAACCTGGGTTGGTCACATGCAAGGCAAGCGCCCTACCCACTGTGCTATCACTCTAGCCCCTGATTATATTCTTGTTCTAGTTTATTTTTTGTTTTTTGTTGTTGTTTTGTTTGCTCTTTGGGCTACCCATAGCAGTACTTAGGGCTTACTCTTATTTTCTCTACACTCAGGTATCATTCCTGGCAGGGTTCAAGGGGCCATTTGGGATATCAGGGATCAAACTTGGTTGGCTGCATGCCAGGCAAGCACCCTACCCATTGTACTTCTTTCTTACTGTATCTAATCCCACTTTTTATTTAGTTAAATCAAAACTTTGTGAGATGTACCTTGACTCATTTGATTTGTATACAATTTTTTTTCTCTTGTGAAATAGTGTTTTATTCCTTTTTTTTTTTTACAGTTACAAAACTTTCATGTTTGAGTTTCAGTCATACAATAATCGAACACCCATCTCTCTACCAGTGCACATTCTTCACCACCAATGTCCCCAGTATACCACCTCCTTACCTACCTCTCCTCTTTGGCAGACAATTTCCCCTATACTCTCTCTCTACTTTGGGGCATTATGGTTTGAAATAATAGATGATCTGTATGCAATTGTGAACCTTAGTTTGAAGTTTGTGGATTATTGAATCAAAATTAAGGTCATTGGTGCACACAGTCTCATCACCTTGAACTTACAAATGCAGATTGTGAATCTGTAGGTGATGAATATGTAAAGGTAAAGGCCCTCCCGTTGATCGTCGATTTGCTCGAGCGGGCCCAGTAACGTCTCCATTGGAGACTTTGTTGTTACTGTGTCTGGCATATCGAATACTCTCGGTAGCTTGCCGGGCACTCCGAGAGGGGCGGAGGAATCGAACTCGGGTCGGCCATGTTGGCCGCGTGTAAGGCGAACGCCCTACCCGCTGTGCTATCGCTCCAGCCCTAGTGCACTTTATTTCTGGAGCTTTCTGCGGTTTGTTGATAAACATTCTAAGCCAGATCAATCACATCCTTTCAAACCCTATAAAATGTGCTTTACTCTAAAGTTTCTTTGATCCTAAAGCATTTGTATATTTCCAATTCCTGTTCCTTACCTCTCCATTGCAGTGTCTATCTCTTTTTTTCTCTTTTAAGGTACTTACTGTCAGCAGCGAGAAGTGGAGGCTATTACCGAAGGTGTTGAGGAAGATGAAGGGTTCTGCTGCTGTGAGCCCGGCCATATTCCTCACGTGCTTTCATTTAATGCTGCGTTTAGCCAGCGCTGGCTCGCCTGGGAAGTGATCGTCACCAAGTACATTCTGGAGGGTTATAGCATCACTGACAATAGTGCTGCTTCTATGCTTCAAGTCTTTGATCTCCGGAAAGTGCTCACTACTTACTATGTCAAGGTAAGGCTATGTGCCTGTTAAGATCTGATAGTGAGGCTGTTCTTGAAAAACAAACCTGCTGTGTGTATGTTTAAACTTGTGTTTTGCTTCTAAATAGGTCTTTAGATTCTCCACTACTCAATAAAGCCAATGAAAACAAACCTGTAATGATCATGTAATTACTTTCTTTGGTGGGGCTTAAAACATTTGTTCCTCAAGAGCAATAGCTACTATTGTCACGCCCGTGTTAGTCATTGTGTTAAGGAATACACAATACATGGAAGCACAAAAATGTACATGTATAACTTATGAGTCTTAAGACTGTATTTTAACTTGTCCCTAATCTTCTAACTAGCAAATGGAGACAGAAACTTAAAACTTGAGCCCTTCCTGCCAGCCACTGCTCTTAAAAACTCTGAATATAAGTATTGTAAGATTTGGAAGGTTTCCAAGACCACCCTACTTGTGACACCAGCTGTAATTTCGAATCCCCAGGATTACTCTCAGTTTCAGGAATTTGTGAGAAGGAGACACAGAACTCATCGTCACTATTCTCCTGGTTATTTATTACTGTGGATGGATACAGATTTAAACTAGCCACTTAAAGCACCCCAGCTTCCTGCTGTTCTCTCACAGTGGAGTGATACACACAATGCCCAGTTCTCCCAGCAACAGTGTGTGACAATACTTACTGAGTATCAATCCCTGAAGCCTCAGCGTGCAAAATTGTGCTTTTTTTTTTTTTACTATTTTCCCCCTTACATTTATATAAGCACTGTGGTTTACAAAGTTGTTCAGGATGATTTGTTACAGACATTCAGTATTCCAACATCAGTCCCACCAGTACACAAAGATTTTATCGGTGTGCAGTCCTTTAAAACATGTTAGACCAACCCCAAGTGGTCAGCCATAGTCTCGGGCTCTTCTGACGTCTTGATGACATTGTATGACTCTAGGCTTGCATGAAAGAGAGACTTGTATGAGGCAGAACATTGCAAGGGTTAGTGCTGACTTCTCAGGGCCCAAATTCAGAGACTGTACCTCTCCTTGAACATGGTTGGTTCTTTGCAGGTATCCTATTTTTACTGAAGGTTAAAATGTGTACCTTAGTATCGCTCTAAGATAAATGTATTTTTTAATTGTCTTATCATTATAAACAGTTACCAAAAATTTTTTAAAAAAATAAACAGTTGCAATTATTTGTGAAGGAATTGGTATTATTTCAAATTGTGATTTTAACCTGATTTTTCTCTTTGTTAGGGTATCATTTATTATGTCACAACCTCTTCTAAGCTAGAGGAATGGCTTGCTAATGAGACAATGCAGGAAGGACTACGCCTGTGTGCAGATCGGAATTATGTTGACGTGGACCCAACATTTAATCCAAACATTGATGAAGACTATGATCATCGGCTCGCAGGCATATCCAGGGAGAGTTTCTGTGTGATTTACCTCAATTGGATAGAGTATTGCTCTTCCCGAAGAGCAAAGGTAGAGATTATTACTCTTCAAATCCGTTTTTCCAAAAATGGATTGTCTTAATTTTTCCAAACTTTTTTTATTATAAGATGGTGACTTGTAAAGTCAACAATATATACCATTGATAAAGTTAGTATAGATAAGCTCATTATTAAGCTACATATGTAATTTTTAATTCTTAGAATCACCTGAGTTGGAACTGCTGGCTCCCACCTCCAAAGCTTGATTTTGTTGCTCTGCAGTGCCCTAAGAACTTGTAGTTCTAACATTTCCCAGGTGAAACTAATGTCACATTCTAGGCCTGCTTTAAGTATTTCTAAACACCTAGAAATGCTACTCTGTAATTGAGATATTATCAAATTAAGTCTTTAATATTATAAAGGCATGCTATTTTGTTTGAATATACAGATAATAGTAGTTGGTTAAACATTAAAAGGTTGGAGGCAGGGATGTAGCTGAGTAGTAGAGCCATGCCTTGCATGGAGGAGGCCCTGCTTTGATCCCCAATATCTACACCCCCTCAAAAAGTTACGTGTTGAGGGGAAGAAGTATTTTAAGGAATTTAAGGATTTCAATTTCTTTCTTTTTTCTTCTGTTGCAGACATAATGGGTATTAAAAGCTGACTTGCCAGATTACATCTAGGCAGAACTAATTAATATATGGAGTATTGTATTTTCAGAAAAGAGTACGATCAGCAAGGATGCATACCAATCTTTTTTTTTTTAAGTCAGCTAGGATTCTGAAACTCTGCAACAGTTAATTTAGTGTTCTAATGTTGTAAAATGTTGTATTTTATTTAAATATTACAAAGACCCTCTTCTATATTATCATACTTCATTTTATGCTGTTGGGGCTGGAGCGATAGCACAGCGGGTAGCGCATTTGCCTTACAAGCGGCCAACATGGCCAACCCGAGTTCGATTCCTCCGCCCCTCTCGGAGAGCCCGGCAAGCTACCGAGAGTATCTTGCCCGCACGGCAGAGTCTGGCAAGCTACCCGTGACGTATTCGATATGCCAAACACAGTAACAACAAGTCTCATAATGGAGACGTTACTGGGCCCGCTTGAGCAAATCGATGAACAACGGGAGGACCGTGACCATGATTTTATGCTGTTAAATTTCTTTATTTGACAGTATTAAAAATTATGTACAGTTGAATTCTTTTATCTGATTTATAACTAGGCACCATTCAGTTAAATACAAACCTTTCTAACAATTGTTGTTCTTTGCTTTGTAAAGCCACTTGATGTGGACAAAGATTCATCCCTCGTGACACTATGTTACGGCCTGTGTGTCCTTGGTCGGAGAGCTCTGGGCACTGCATCCCACCATATGTCCAGGTAAGGAAGACATTTCTGTTCTCAAGAAGTATTGAAAGGAGCTATTTATCCTAAATCTAAAATATTGATTTTTAAGTATTCTATGCTAAGTTTATTGCAAAAGCCTCTTATGTTTGTCTAACTCTTTAATGAATATAATTGAATTCTACTGAGTGGTTAACAGCTGGCTTATAAAATTCACACATGTGGATAACTATTTGATAAAAGTGATTTAAGACAAATAAATAATCACCTATAGAGTTTCATTGGTCTCCTTTCATATAGAACTATTTTCTGTTTTTTAACAATGCACCTCTTTTTATTTATCTTTATTTCTTTGTAATGTTTATCCATAGCATTCATGCTTTTAATATTCTTGCATGTTAGACTTTTGAACTTTTAGTGATTTCTTGATGTATGCATCCAAATGAAGGAGACTTTTTAAAGGAATAGTACGTATTTTAAATTTCCTTTATGATGGCTACAATTTTTTCATTGCCTCCTTAATTAGTTTTTACTTATAAACTCATTGCTTGTTATTTTCATGGGCATTTTATCATAGTGACTCAGAAGGGTCCCTGGTCAAGTAGGTCTTATCCCCAATCTGATTCTGAACCTTGACATTTGCTTCTGGAATCTGTGATTCCAAGCTCCTAGATGATTCTGATGCACAAATATAAGAATCAGGGCAGTGGACGCCTTTGTCAAAATATATAAATTTTTATCTCCAATCTTAACAGTAATTTAGAGTCATTCCTCTATGGATTGCATGCCCTGTTTAAAGGAGATTTCCGTATTTCTTCGGTTCGAGATGAATGGATCTTTGCTGACATGGAATTGCTAAGGAAAGTAGTAGTCCCTGGAATACGTATGTCCATTAAGCTTCATCAGGTAAGAGGAGGAAATTTCTAGTGTATTACTTGTATTTAATTGTCTATTTTCAGTTTTATTTTACAATTTAGGTTTCTTGGAAACATTCTGATATTAAATAAACAAAAAAATTCGTGACGAGATGCTAAATCTCAGAAGCCTGACCTGCTTCTACCAGTAAATTTGAACTAACTTTAGTAAATTATTATTAGCAAGTAACTGATCTGAGTGTGAAATTGAGGAAAATTTTAAACAGTGACAAATTGGAAATAAAGGCCGTTGGCCCTCATGATTATTGCTTTGACTTCAGATGACTGTAATTCACACCTTTCTTTCGTATATCACCACATTGTAGTAACATCTTGGCAGTATCTTAGGTGCTGCTGTTGTTAAACTTTGAGTTTTATTTGTCATGTTATATTTTAAAAAACAGGCTATTGGGACAGATTTAGCCTTATTTAAAATTATTTCGGTAGGATAATACAAGTGAAATAAGGCCAAAATACATATGGGAGTCCTAGATCATTTTAATGATATATTGCAAAATTATATACTGGCATTTTCTGTTCTTAACTATTCCACTTTCATTAGTTAGCAAATCTGATGATTCACATTTAATTGTAATAGCCCAAACCTGGAAGTAGTTCAACTGTTCATTAGCAGAGGAGCACACAACAATATATATCTATCCACGCAATAAAATACTAGAGATAAAAAGAAATGAGCTACCATTCACACTGTCACATGAATGACTGTTTATCATTTTGCAGAGCTAGAGAAACCAGATATAAAAAGAGCACAGATTGTATAATTTTTATAAAACTTAAAACAGACCAAGTTAAAGCTACAGATAGCAGATCAATTGCTGCTTCAGATATAGAGATCAATAAAAGGCAGGGAAGAAGTTTTGGGGGTAATAGAAGTATTACATACTTAGATTATAGCTGTAGTATGACTACTGTCATAATAATAAGATGTCATAATAAGATGTTCCGGGAGCTGGTTTTTATAGTCTCTGAGTCTTGGCCGCTGATGGGATTACACGGCGCCAGGGGGCCAGTTGGTGGGTGTGACCCCCGCCTACTGGAATTTGGAGGATCTGGGTGGAGGATGCTCGGCCCAAATCCGAGTAGGCTTGGAGATCTCGGCCCCGGAACCCGCATGACTTTGTCCCTCTGCCAGTACCTTCATGTGTGCGGAGAGTGGTCTCAGCATGGTGGTGGCTGGTCCTGGAGGTCTTTGGCTGCCGGAGCCCTGGTCGGGGCGGGGAGGAAAGCTCAACCCGCTCCCCTCCAAGGGGTCCCGGCGAGCGAGGACAGTCAGGCGCGGGGGCAGACAAACTGGCAGGTTACGGAATGTAGCCTGCCCACAGGGCAGAGTCTGGCAAACTCCCCTTGGCGTACCCAATATGCCAAATACCAGTAACAGTGATGGGTCTCATTCTCCTAAAGAGCCTTGAATATAATCTCAGGGCTAGGATGAAGGAGACGTTACTGGGGTCTGCTCGAGGCAATCGACGAATAACAGGATGATTTGTGATTTGTGATGACTACTGTCATACAGTAGTGCTTTTTTTGTCGAAAATTCATCTGACACTTAAAATGGGTGTGTTTAGGGGCTCGGGAAATAGCTCAAAGGTCTGGAGCACATGCTTTGCATGTTGGAGACGTGTTTAATCCCCACACTATGCACTGCCAAGAGTAGCCCCTGAGCATTGCCAGATATGACCCCAAAATGAACAAACAAGAAAGTTAAATTTAGGGGCTGCATTGATAGTACAGCAGGTAAGGTGTAGATCCCTGAGCCAGAGCCAGGAGTTAGCCCTGAGCATCCCCTGGTGTGGTTCCTCTCCCCCAAGAAAGGGTAAATTTAATTATGTCAAATAATCTCTTGCTTAGCGAATTAGATATTCTGGCCCTAGAGGGCTAACAACCCACAACTGCTAATAACCTTTGTATTTTGGATAGAAAGAGATAGTCTTTGATAGATTTTTTTTAAAGGTGTTTTCCTGTCTTTTTGGGGATTTTTTGTCTCTTTGCACCCGGAAGTGCTCAGGGATTATTCCTGGCAACAGTGCTCGGAATTACTCCTAGCAGTGCTCAGGCGACCATATGGGACACTAGGAATTGAACACAGGCACACCCTCTCTGCTGTGCTATCACTCTGAGCCCTTAAAGATATTTTTAATTCTCCAAATTCACATATTATATTAATTTCTTCAGAACTACAAAAAAAATTCAATATGTAGAATACTTTAATTGTATAATACCCTGGGCTGGGGCGATAGCACAGTGGGTAAGGCATTTGCCTTGCAGTCGGCCAATATGGCCGACCCGAGTTCGATTGCTCCGCCCCTCAGAGAGCCCGGCAAGCTTTGAAGAGTATCTCGCCCGCATGGCAGAGCCTGGCAAGCTACCCGTTACATATTCAGTATGCTAAACACAGTAACAACAAGTCTCACGATGGAGATGTTACTGGGCCCGCTCGAGCAAATCGGTGAATAACGGGAGGACTTGACCGTGACCGTATAATACCCTACCTTACATTAATATTTTAATATGTGATATATCACAACTTAGGAAATTATTTTGATTTTGTAGGTAAATTTTTTAGATGGGTTAGTTAAATTCAAAGAACTTAAGCAGATTTCTTTCTTCCCGTGTTTTCTTGTCTTCTATTTAATTTTATCTTTCCTCCTATGGTTTTCTATTTTACTCATCTTTTTGAGGATCATATAGCTGTTAAAACTAAAATAAACTGAAGTTCACTTTGGTTTATAAATGATGCATAGTGAAAATTTTCCAGTTCATGACCTTTCTGAGGGCAGGATAACTCTTATTAATGTTTATAGTCACATTGTTTAGAATAGCGTTTAGCGGCCAATGCGTACTTAGCAGCCAAAGAAACTCGTAATTATAAGTTTTGTTTTATTTTGTTTTGGGGGAGAGACCTCACAAGTGGTACTCGGGAGTTAGGGCTCCTTCCAGAAATTATGGCAACTGGTTGACAGTTCTACTTGAGGATCAGAGAATACGGTGTTGCTTGGGCCTTGAGGTGCTGCGGTTAGCCAGGGCTGCATCTGGTGATGCTCAAAGTATCACATGGTGCTGGAGAACAAAACAGGGTTGGTCACATGCAAGGTTCTATCTCTCTGGGCCCACCTTTCACTGTGTAAAAAGTAATATATCCTGTGCATCTGTTTGTAACTTATCACTTATGTTTTTTTAATGTTCCTGAGAGCTTTTCTCAGAAGAACTGGCAACATTATCTCTTTACTTTTCTTTGAAAAAATACTGCATTTAAATAAAAATAACAGTAGCATTTAAATACCACACAAGAGTAAAAATCTTCCAATCATCACACATGTGTAGCAGCTTACCATACCCCATACACCATGCATCAGACAAAATCTCTGAGAAAAAAATCCCTGCCAGTCATTGGATGCTATCTTTTCTGGTATTTTCGAGTACATAAGAGTTCCATCTGTATGTATACTGTTGTCCTTTTTAAAAATGTAATTGTGCCTTATAAGTGGATCTGTAATGCATGCGTTTCCTGCCATTGGATACACACAGACTCCTTTTCCAGGCAGCTCTTCAAGAGGCATCCTGTTTCATATGTTGCTCTTCAAACGCTGCAGGGATAATCACAGAACTTTACTTACTCGTTCAACTGCAGTAAAACCCAGTGAATGAAATATCTGAATAAGATGAAACATTCTCCACTTTCGACTTGCCTAATGATTTCTGCTTTAGTGTCTATTTTATTAAGAATGTGAATTTTATCTGTCTGCACCTTAATTTTCCATTTAAACACTTGTACCAGTACAGCTATAGAAAGATGCCATTTCTTCCCTAATGGAAAAATTTTCTAAAATATGAAATTCAGCAATCTACTGGTAAAGGGAAGTAAATTTAATGTTTAAAAGAGCAGTTAGAAGTGGAACAGAGTCGAAAGCCATTATTACTATTTTAAGGCATAACTGCCATATTCCCCAGAGGCAAAATTCAAATCCAGGATTCTTGTAGAAGAAACCGAGGAGCTGTGCTCTGGGAAATATACAAAGACGTCATGACAGCAGGACAGAATCAAGAAAGGAGCCCAACTGGCTTTGAGTTGCAGTCTTATCTCCATCAGATTCAAGAGGGTTCTTTGGAGAATGACTGTCACATTCGCAACCTTCAGGAGAAGAACTGTCTCCCCTCCCAGCCTCACCTCCCTGTGCAGCCATCAGCTGAAGGCAGTGCTCAGAAGACTAACTCTTCTGACGGCAGTGGAGAGAGGAGTTACAAGCCATACAAGTTGGACAAGTCCCCAATGAGGTGTTTCAAGTCTGACTAACAGCTAGTTTTTCTAATTTCCGTACTGCATTTCAACTAGAGTTTGTGTCCCAGAGGATAGAGCCTGTTACTTACGCACCACTATTTTCCTCGTTGCTTAGCACGTTGGCAATAGAATAGACCCCCAGTTCCACTAGAGAAGTTTTGAGCTATCAGAGAGACAGTACATCAGGTAAGGCGGCCAACCCAAGTTCAATTCCCAGAATCCCATGTGATCCCCCAGGTAATCCCTGAACACAGAGCCGGGACCACTGAGTTTTGAGCACCCCTGGGTGTTGCCCAGATGCCAAAATATTTTTTTTTAAAAAGTGATGTGCACAAAGTATTTAAGTATGGATTTGGGGTACTTGTAGATTGCTTAAAATGATGTGATGTGAGACGTTTGAAATTAACAGATATATATAACTTTTTTCTTCCTTTAGGATCATTTCACTTCTCCAGATGAGTATGATGACCCTTCTGTGCTTTACGAAGCCATTGTATCTCATGAGAAGAACCTTGTGATTGCTCATGAAGGGGACCCTGCCTGGCGGAGTGCAGTCCTCGCCAATTCCCCCTCCTTGCTTGCCCTGCGGCATGTCATGGACGATGGCACCAATGAATACAAAATCATCATGCTTAATAGGCGCTACCTTAGCTTCAGAGTCATCAAAGTACGTTTACTTATTATTTATCAAAATAAGCTTCAAAGGCATATATTTGATTCTGGGGGGCGGGGGGCTGGAAGGAAACTTAGACAACCTTCTGTAAACTTCTTAAAAATTTGATTGAAACTTACAAAAAATAAAATAATGAGCATGTTGCGTTCATGTTTATCGTTCGCCAGTACTTGATTTCTTAGGCCCATGATATGTTCTGTCCTCTGAGATTTTTCAATAAGCCATGCACTATAAAATGTTTGCTTGTTGTAGAAGTCTGTTTTCCACATTTTGTGTTTTGTGTAGGGATTTATCTCTTCCTAAAACATCAGCGCCATACTGCCATTTTGGAAAATGAAATGACAATGTTTTACTAGATGTTTTTACAGGACAGACAGAGAGGAGAGCACTGTAGGTGAAATGATTAGGGAAAGTTGAACGATTAGGGAAAACAGTTCATTTGTGGCCTTCTACCATTTACTCTGCTTATTGTGATGTCTCTTGTGTCCCTCGGATTTTTGCTCTTCTGTTTGTAGGAACTATATTCTTTCCCCATTAGTCTGACTCCCCTCGGTCTGGTTTCCAGGTGAATAAGGAATGTGTTCGAGGTCTCTGGGCAGGACAGCAACAAGAACTTGTTTTTTTACGAAACCGTAACCCTGAGAGAGGCAGCATCCAGAATGCCAAGCAAGCTCTGAGAAATATGATAAACTCCTCTTGTGATCAACCCATTGGCTACCCAATCTTTGTCTCACCTTTGACAACTTCATACTCTGACAGCCATGAACAGCTTAAAGAAATTCTTGGGGGACCGATCAGCTTGGGAAATATCAGAAGCTTTGTAGTGTCAACCTGGCACAGGTTAGTACTGGGAGATGTATTTTTTAATGGTAGTACATACTAATCCTCTTCCAGGGATAAGTGCTATTATCTAAAGTTTTGTCTGAGTATTTTTGTCTTCAATACCTTAAATAGAGGGGCTGAAGTGATAGTACAGCAGATAGGGCATTTGCCTTGAACACAGCTGACCTGAATTCAATTCCCAGCATCCCATATGGTCCCCTGAGCACAGTCAGGAGTAATTCCTGAGTGCAAAGCCAGGAATAACCCCTGTGCACCTCTGGGTGTGAACCGAAAGGCAAAAGAAAAAAAAAAACCTTCAATAGAGAAATCTAACACACAACTCTGGTTAAGAAGAATCATTACTCTAGGTGCTAAGAGTATAGCGGGCCAGGTGCTTGCTTTGCATGTGCCCATCTGGCTTTGATCACTGGTACTCTCTGTGGTCCCCTGAGCCTCACCAGAAATGAGTGGGGCTCAGGGGACCACATAGAGTATGCTGAGCACTGAGTCAGAAGTAAGCTCCAAGCACTGCAAGGTGTGACCCAGAAATTTTGAAAAGGTTTTATTTCTAGTGTTCCATAGAATCTTGAGTAGTTTGCTTCTTTTGTTTGATTGATTTTCTCTTCTTTCTTGCAGCATATTGGCACAGTTAGAATGTAAGGACTATTGAGCAGGGCAAATTAGAGAAGAGGTGTAATAAACTTGTCCAGGTTATTAATTTTTTTCCAGTAAAAGGGGGAAGGGGCACTGTACATGTTGAAATTCCTAGGCGTGGAATGAAGGATCCCGCTGTCACCTTAAAGTAGTCATTGCTCAAGTCTTGAGAATGTAGTTCATTCACACAAAGGCATAGATGCATGGAAGGGAAAAATATAAATCCAGGGTAGTGTTGAAGAAAAGTTTCTTTTTTCATTTTTTAAGAATTCTTTTATATGTACCTATATAGCTCTAGTAACATGATTACAAAAGTGTTCAGGTTTATGGTATTGATTACAAAGTTTCAGGAAGCCCCTCCCCGCTCCATCACATTGCCTAGGACCTTGCACCACTGTCCCTAGTAATTTTCTTTTCAGCAGATATGCATGTAACCATTACATTAAAGAGGTTAAGTTCTTTTCCCCTAAGAGCAATGGCATAGTGATTGGGGTGGAGATGGCGGTGGCAATTGTCCCGGTTTGCCTAATACTGAAGGGTTTGAGTGCCCATCAGGACAGACTAGAACTGTTTGCCCCACCTTATGCTTTCAGAGGAAAAAGATGTGTGATTGCAGCATTGCCTCCCAGGGTTACTCAGACAAATGACTCTTCAGGGGTTGGTACTACAGATACACTGGCAGGAATCTGCTTCTGCTTGTGAATTAATGGTGCGACTGTGCTGCAAGGAGTTCTTTATTATGGTAGTGGGAAGGTACCAGTATTTAGGAAGAATGAATAAGATTTGGGGAAATTAAGGAAATGAATATAAGAGGGAATGAATTGTATGAAACCATACAAACCAGAAGACTCCTCACATCCCTCCCCCCCCCCAAACAATAATGTCTGTACCATGAAAGAGTTTTAAAGATGATTATTAGCAGTGCTGACAATTTGGAGTAGCTGGAAGAAGAAAGAAATACCAGCCTGGAGGTGATCTTGTGAGTAATGCTTCCTGTTTGTCATTTCTTCCTAGGTTAAGGAAAGGTTGTGGAGCTGGATGTAACAGTGGCGGCAATATTGAGGATTCTGATGCTGGAGGTGGAACTTCCTGCACTAGTAACAATGCAACAACTGCCAATGATCCCCAGAGTAACTTGTCCCAGGGAAGCACTGGAAATCCAGGCCAGGGAAGTGGAACCGGGCTCCATCCGCCTGTCACATCCCATCCTCCAACACTAGGTAACACAAGGCAAAATAGCCTCTTAGCTGCTGGCATTGTGTTATATGTTATAGAAAGAGGATGCATATTGCCCCCTTAGATATATATATTCTGTTTTATTCTCATCTGGACATTATCCTATTTTTTATGTTAATCGTTATTAATTCTATGATGGGTATTGGAGATACTATTTTTGAAAGGGTTTTAATGGCTAGTGATATTAGCACTTAATATCGTTTCCATCTCTCTTGGTTTCTTCTGAGTATTGTGGTCTGTGTGTGTGTGTGTGTGTGTGTGTGTGTGGTGCTAGGAAACAAACCCATACATCATTAATACTATATTTTGAGTATTTTAGGGTTTATTCCAATTCTAAATTGTAAGGTGGTTTTATTTTTTTTTATTTTTTAGGGTATTTTTTTTTAATTATATTCTGTAGTATTCAGGGGTTACTCCTGGCTCTGTACTCAGGAATTACTCCTGGTCATGCTCAGGGTACTATATGAGATGCTGGTCAGCATGTTCCAGGCAAATGCCCTACCACTGTACTACTAAGCCCCCCCCCCATCCTAAATACTGTTATTTACTCTATATCATTTAATTACATGACTTCTGATACTCCAGAATTTAAATTTTAAAAAGATTCAAAAGATTTTTAAAAGAAGCTTTACGATATATAGCACACAACGGAACAGTTCTGCTATCTCCTTTTGAGAATTCTAACTGCGTTAGGCATCGTGCTCAGTTCTGTGATTCCACTGAGCGAGACATTTAAGCTAGAGAAAGTCGTAGAAACCACCACCAAGAATGGTCCTCGCCTTGTCCCCCACTGAGCACTGGCCCTTCCACTCTCTCTCCCAGGCACGAGCCACAGCTCACATTCCGTGCAGTCGAGCCTGGTCAGACAGTCCCCCGCCCGGGCCTCAGTGGCCAGCCAGTCTTCATACTGCTACAGCAGCCGGCACTCCTCCCTGCGGATGTCCACCACGGGCTTTGTGCCATGCCGGCGCTCGTCCACCAGTCAGATCTCCCTGCGCAACCTGCCATCCTCCATCCAGTCCCGCCTCTCCATGGTGAACCAGCTGGACCCCTCCAGCCAGAGTGGCCTGGCGGGCATGCAGCACGGCTTGCCTTCCTCCAGCAGCTCCAGCCAAAGCATCCCTGCCTGCAAGCATCACACCCTCGTGGGCTTTCTGGGGACCGATGGAGGTCCGAGCAGTGGCCCTGATGCACAGCCCGGCAGCACCCCCGCCAGCAACGCCCATACCAAAAAGGGGGATGTGACTTACAGAGTCCAGGTGAGTTAGCCCCAGACTCCTGCTCATCAGGTGTTTTTTTTTTTAACTTTTCTTTTCTTTTTGGTTTGTGGGTCACAACTGGCGATGCCTGGGTTACTCCTGGCTCAGCACTCAGGAATCACTCCTGGTGATGCTTGGGGGACCCTGTGAGATGCAGGGGGATGGATTGGGTCTGCCGCATGCAGGGCAAGCATCTCATCCACTGTGCTGTCACTCCAGCCTCTGCTTATTCTCTTTTATTTCTTGACTTGTTGACTGCATGACTCTTATGAAAGTACAGCAGTACTTAGAGACTAGACTGGTTTGGAAGGTTGAAAGTTTCCACCAGCTGGAAGAACAGGCAGCTTTGCCATGGTGACAGTTGCACCTTCCCCGCCATTGTCACATACCCATTGCTGGCAGGCTTCCAGTGGTGCAGAAGGAATCTGGGCAGCACCTCTTAAAATTATTATTTTTAATTTTTAAAAAATCTTGAGAGGACACAGAGAACTTTAGATGCAGATCCCTATGAAAGAAATTTTGTGGGGAATCATATATATACATATATATATATGTTTTCATGAAGATAAAAATGAAATGGAAGTGATCCATTTTATTTAACACAGATTGTGGATCCCAGTCAAGTTCTGGATGCAATCAACTTGTCAAAAAGGAAAGAGCTGCAGTGGCCCGATGAGGGAATTCGGTTGAAAGCTGGGCGAAATAGCTGGAAAGACTGGAGTCCCCAGGAGGGCATGGAAGGCCATGTAAGTGTCCTTGCGGCATTGCCTGGTACCTTTTCTTTTTTTTTTTTAAATGCAAATATTTATTTATTTTAATCTTTATTAGTGAAACACCATGATGGTACTTTTTCTTGAAGGCTGACTGACTTGTATACACATTTTCAGCCTTTGTGCCTTTGTAGCAACTAATCACTAACACTAAGCATAGAACTAAGCATTTGTGAATGTGGTCAAGGCCTCTGCCACTAAGTTTCGTTTCATTCTGCCTCATTAGGTGATTCACCGATGGGTGCCTTGCAGCAGAGATCCAAGTACCAGATCCCACATTGACAAGACAGTGCTTCTGGTCCAGATTGATGATAAATACGTGACTGTAATTGAAACTGGGGTACTAGAACTCGGGGCTGAAGTATGAGCCTGTGTCTAGTAACTACATTTCTTTGCCCTCTCAATTCCAAGACAGTGGGAAAAGAGGAGAAAGCAGAAGATGCCTGCAAGTGTCATTTTGATCCTAGATGGGAGAGACTTGAACAGAGAGTGGGTTTGAACAAGCACCTCTCTTTTTCCCTTCACCCTGACCCCTGTCACTGTCTCCATCCCCAAATAAAGCTGAAATATTTTTTTAAGTTAGCTGGCGACAAAACATTTTGCATGAAGGATATAGTTCTGTTAAAATTACATCCTTAAAGAAGTTTTTTTTTCTTATGCATTGCCTATGCTTTAAATCAACCAGCACTTCATTTCTAAACTATGATCTCATATTTTTCTAATTTTCTTGCCAAAAAGAATTGCCATGTTTTGTCATAGATCATGAAATCCATATACTTTGATTTTTAAAAACAGACCAGTGTAGAAACCTTCAGTTTGACAAATAGCAGTATAAAAGTTTAATGTACAGTGAAAGAGACTATGAACAGACATAGATTTATCTTATTCCTTGAGCGCTAAAAACTTTAATGAAAAGACTGCACTAATTTTTTACAACAATGCACTAAAGTCTGAGATTTCTCAGAATGTTTATTTATATATAAAAATAAAATGCATTATTTAAATTGCCTTTGGGATTAACCCCTCCCCTTTCCTTACAAACACCCATAGCAGGAACTGTGCTGCTCATTTTTCTGTCATTAGTCTGCACTTCATACCAGAACATTGGACAGTTTCTTTCAAATGAATACTAAATCTTAAGGTATGCATAATTTCACCATTGGCATTTTCCCGGAGCCTCTAGACAGTGGATTGATCCTGTGAACACTACTGCCAGCTCCTGTGTCCACATTTCAGATGCACCCCAGCACCATGGGGCCCAGGGTGCTTGCTCCTCTCACCTGTGGGCAAGCTCTTCTCGGCTCAGTTCTGGGAAGAAAATGCTTTTGCTTTTCAATGAAAAGGATGAAAGTTCAAGAATTTAAAGGAAAAAGATCAGTTGCCTTTCATTTATGGATTCTTAGTTCTTGAAGTTATTCACATGCAGTTCAGTTTATCAAGTAAAAGTTTTTCAGACAAAATTACACAAATGGTGCAGTTCTTATTGTTGTATCCTCTTTAATAACTTTATCATTTATTTTCCTCCTCTCTTCTTTTTCTATTACTTGAAATTTATCTCCTGTAATTTATAGTGAATGGCTGTAATTTGGACTATTTATAACTGTGAAATTGACTTAATTCATATGTTGTCTGATAAATTGTATTGTTTGTTTTTAAATGTGTGTATTCAGGGAAATATATATATATATATCTCAGATTTGTAATTGGGCCAAATAGGAACTGCAATTTCAATTTAATTTGTAACTTTTGGAATTTTTCAAATCCTTCAGAAATTTTTTTCCTTTCTGTGTGTGTGAAACTCCAAAGAAGATTGTATATCTCCTCTGAGCATTTAGGTGCAGTCCTTTCTCCCCAGCACGGAAAGAAAGTAAAAAGAAGCAGGTGAAATTACTTTTAATCGGATATTTCGTTGACTCCACTCTCTCCAGGAACTCCTATTTCAATATGTGATACTAGCCATATTTCAAGTACTCACTGGCCACATGTGCTCAGTGGCTACTGTATTGAACACCATGGGCTTAGAGTATCTTTTGATGAAGGGGCAGGAGAGAGAAGCTGTTTCTCTTACTAATCAGCTGTAGTTCTAACTGTATAGCAGAATTCCTTAGCAAAAAGATCGAAAACTAAAGTAGTAAATAGCTAATATGCAGCATGTTAGAGCATTTCTACTCTAAAATCTCTCTTTTTTTTCCCTAAATTTTTTGTGGTCATTCAGGACCCAAAGTGCCTCTCATTGACATTTTCATAGACTGAACACAGCAAAATTTACTGTTTAAACACATTTGTTAAATGATTTACTGAGCCTTTTTACAAAGGTAGCATTTCTAAATTGACCAGTTAACGTGTATTTTCCTGATACTGTCACTATATTCTGTATTTGCCTCATTTTGGCAAATCTATGGTAGGCCATTAAAATTCAGCCTCTTTTTATTCTGAATCTGAAATCTGATTTCCCTCTTTTCTATCTTGCTTTCTCTCTCCTTTTCACTCTCACTCTTACTCTCTTTCTCTCCATAAAAATACATGTTGAAAGGTATTATGCTCCCTGCTACTTGTTCCCTTTTTTAAATAAGTATAATCTTTTCAGTAAGAAAAGTAGAATCTTTACGATCTTAGATGAATGATAATTAATTTTCCTATATACATGAAAACCTAAATATCAAATAATTCAATCAGGAGGATTAAATTAGTTTTATGCCATCCCCTCCCAATGCTCCACTCTCCAAGAGTTAAACATATTATATAATCTAAAAAGTCATTTCAAATTCAGGAACTAAATTTTAGGTGAAATATATCCATATTTCACAAATATTCATATATAATATACATGTACTCATTTTTAAATTTTTTTAGCAACTAATACAAATATAAAGATTTATCTCAATACAGGTTGAATATTGTATAAGATTCCCCTTTAAATAGTGAATTTATGAATTAGGAACCCCAAGAGGACTTTTCTTAATTTTTAAGTGTGAAACTGATAGCCTTTAAAAAAAAAATCCTACTGATTTTTTAATTATTGCACCAGGGAAAGAAGTAATGACTGAATAAAGATTCACATCTTAAAAGTAAGTTTGATGTAAATTAGTACATAAAAATATATACACTTTAATAAAATCAGTTATAGGCACTTCCTTTTCCCTTGCCCTGGGAGAATTTTGAACTGTTTGTTTAGATTCCCTGCTTACTTTTTCCCATTCTCGTACAAGACTTCAGCATGCATAATTAGTGTCCTTGGTTCACTGTTGCCAAAGTTTTTTAGAGTTCTATAATTTGAAAGTAAAAAATATATAATGAAAACACTTTTAATTTATTTCCACTAAGTTTTATATTGATGTCATTCTGGTTTTTGTTTTTTGCTTTTTCTTTTTCTTTCATTTGGACTTTTGTTTTTTCTCCCCTTTTCAAAAAGTCTTAGAATGTTATAAATTGTGAGGTTTTTATTCCAGTTTTGTTCATTCAGTGTCAATCTTCATAGCTCAAAATTAAGCTCTTGGTTAATCTTCTAGCTTATAACTTGGTGTAAGTCCTTCTTTTTTTATACCATTTTTCAGTACTCGATAAAACTTCAAATGTTTGCATATTTTCTCTAAAGAATTGTAATTTTCCCAATTGTAATCTAAAATTACAACTTTAGGTTAACTTTTAAAAGTTGGTATTTGGAGGCTGGACAGGTAGTATGCTTGCCTTGCCCATGACTGGCCTGGATTCAGTCCCCAGCACCGTATATGGTCACTCATGCCCCACTAGGAATGATCCTTGAGTGCAGATCCCAGAGTAAGCCTGAACACCGCCTGGTGTGACCTCCTGCTTCCCCCCAAAAATTGATATTTAAGCTACTTGGGAGAATAGGTGATGAAGTTGTATATTCTTAAGAGGAGATTAATTGCCTTTCAGGAAATTGGTGAACAACAGGTGTTCTGCCATCTTTGAGTTTCCATGGCTGGAAAATTAACTTCCCTTAGATTTGAAGTATTTTTTAAGGTATTTCCTGTATAGCTGAGATAGTTCTGGTAGTCCTTGAAACAGAGGTAGGCACACAGTATCTCTGTCTTAAGCGAAATTTAGAATGTTATTCTGTGTACCAATTGTCAGGGAATAGAAAATCCAAGTTTTCATGTAGAAAGTGACAGCTCCTTAAGAGCATTCTTTTTCTTCCTGTTGTTTATCGTTGCATCTTATATCAGAATATAGAAAACAGCCTCAAATTTAAGCAAGGGTAACATGGCCTTAAGAAAGCCCACTTGGCTTCCCAGCAGCATACTTCAGCATCTGCTTAGAGACACTTTGTTTGGTGGATCACAGCATGGACTCATGCATCCAGAGTTGTGTTTTTGTATCTTAACCGAATCTAAAACTCTCTCTTTGTTTTGGTTGACTTTCAGACATATTTCCTCCTGAATATGACTTGAGAAGAAGATGATTTAGTAATTATGTGTGAGAATTATTTGAATTTATGTTTACTGTATACTAAACTGTAAACTGCTGCCCGGATAGTTAATTGTGTTTGTTTTAATTGTTTTGTTTTGTTTTTTTCTGTGAGTATGAACAAAGCCCTTTCTAACTTTTTTTTAAGTCATCAGTATTCATTTTTTGTTATTTTTTTTGTAGTGTAATATAATATAAAATTACTTTGCCTGAACACAGAACCAGTCCATTTTTCCTCTGATAAGAAACATTGTCCAGATGAAGTTATAAAATGGCCCTTTTTATTCTAGCTTTGTTTCAGTCTAATGTGGAAATCCGGTCTTTAAGAAAGGCCCAGAGAAAGAGGAAAATTATTGTGTATTATCTTGGATATGTAGTTTCTTACTATTAAGTATTTAAAATTTTGCATCTCTTTGTTTTTCTTTACAAAGATCTCGTTGTTATACACCTGGGCCGCCTTCTTCTTCTTCTTTTTTTTTTTAAATCTCATTAAATGTTTAGGTAAGAACTGTGGTTGGAAAGGAATTAATTATACAAGTAGATTTGGCAGGTATGTGAATAGAGTGAATTTTTGCTTGCAACAGAAGTACATTTTCAACTTCAAATAATCTATCCTGAGTCCTCTGTCAAGAATTATGCGTGTATGAACTTATCTATATTGCCTGTAAGCCACATAGTCTTTCTGAATTGAAGTAATTAAGTTTATTTGTGAGCTGGACATTATTATCTGCCAATAATGGAAGCAACATAGCATTAGATGGAAGAATCAGAGCTAATTGTTACTGCAGGATTATATGACAACTCTGTTCTATGACTTATACCTATTATATAGGGTTATAACTTTTTCTCATGACTCAGCTCCTCTACCTGACAATTTATGATTCAGTGGAGCCTAGCGTGATAAGGATAAATTCCTGGGTATTACACACACAAATGAGGTGGTATCTTGGAATTCAGAAGGGACTAGCAGTAGAAAACGGGACAGCTGCTCCAGACGACACTTTGGTTTAGTGTAGTCATGGTCAAACAAGATTTTTTTCTTAATATATGAAGCTTGATTCTACAACCAAAATAATAGAAGCAGGGGTAGGGGAAATCACGTCTGCTAATGCTTTTCTAAGGCTTATAGTTTAAGTGAAAACAAATTGTAAAAACTGATTATCTTAACCCTACATGAGTCTAGCAATGAGCTCTGCATGAGGAAATGGAAGGAAGAAAATTAAAAATGGCCCTAGGAGGGTAGGTGTAAGGAAGGAAAATGGGTTTCCCTTTTCTGATCATGGGCTCTGAAAAGTCTTCATTGCCTCTACCAGCATTCAGTATAAACCAGAGAAAGAATATATGTACCTGCGCGTGTCTCCGAGAGTGTGTGTCTGAGTGTTTGTTATTCTGAACAGCTTGTAAATATTGTAGTTGTTTAAAATGGAATATAAAAGCTGAGATTGTTTCTTTTCTTTGCAAATATATTGCATCAAAAATACAGTATTGGCAGTGGATATAACACTGAGGAAATAAATTTTGTTTTCATTTTGCCTTCTGTCCGTTTCTGTCTAACTCAAAACTAGAGAATACCACATTAAGCACTGCATGAAATTTTATTTTAAAACATACTTGAATTCTGAAATAACCATTTGAAGGTGAAACTTTGATCTGTGTACATGTGTACATGTGATTCTACCCATAGCATGTATTCTATATTAAAAGCAGATATGGGGCTGGAGCAATAGCACAGCAGGTAGGGTGTTAGCCTTGCACGTGGCCAACCCAGGTTCGATTCCCAGCATCCCATATGGTCCCCTGAGCACCACCAGGAGTAATTCCTGAGTGCAGAGCCAGGAGTAACCCCTGTGCATCGCCAGGTGTAACCCAAAAAGGAAAAAAATATGGATATATTTTCATACGTGGTAGGTAGGTTGTGGTTTGTGTCTTACGAATTGAACTGAATCTGTTCTGTCAAATGATAGAATATTAGATCATGTAGATAATACAATATACAAAATACAATATGGTATTGTATTCTCTAACGAAAGAAAATCAGTAAGAAAAGTAAACCATATCAAAACCTGGCAAATGCTAATTTGAGGTGTATACTAACCTATTGTTTTCTTACATTATACTTAAAATGCAAGCTGATTCAATCTCCAGCACACATATGATCCCCCGAGCACTGCCAAGAGTGATACTTGAGCTCAGCTAGGCGTGGCACACGTCCCTCGCCTGGGTAAAATAAAATTCAAGCTAAAATAGTATAGTTGTGAGATAGCCATAGATATGCTCTTCATTAGGTCACTTAACCTCCAGTGATTGATTCTAGGGACCATGCACAGTGGTAGTGAGAGGTTCTGACCAAGTGATGCAGGTGGTGGTGCTGAGGGTGGCAATGTCTGTCCAGTGTTAGGAACTGGATTCAGTGCTCGAGTTGTTTTCCTGGTCCCTTCGTTTTGGGTTTGGGGCCACACCATCAGTGCTTTCTCCTGACTCTGTGCTCAGCCTCAGGGATCACCCCTGGAAATGCATGAGGGATCATACAGAGTGCTAGGGGTCTAACCAGGGTTGACTGCATGCAAAGCAAGCACGTTATGCACTGTTCTCTCTCTCTCTCTCTCTCTCTCTCTCTCTCTCTCTCTCTCTCTCTCTCTTTCTCTCTCTCTCTTTCTCTCTCTCTCTCTCTCTCTGGAACCCTTTATTATTCATACAGTATATTTTACTTAGAGTTTTCTCCTAGAGGATGGAAACAATGTCTTACTGACTGGTTGCCCGTGAATCTAGCTATGGAAATATATCCTAGACTAGATGAAGAGAATAACTGTGGGGTGAGGGTAAGACTGAACACTGGGGGCTAGAGCGATAGCACAGCGGGCTGCGTGTTTGCCTTGCACGCAGCTGACCTGGGTTCGATTCCCAGTATCCCATATGGTCCCCCGAGCACCGCCAGGAGTAATTCCTGAGTGCAGAGCCAGGAGTAACCCCATAGCTTTGCTGGGTGTGACCCAAAAAGAAAAAAAAAAACCCTGGCAATGGGTGTAGTTCAGCACTTTCTATACTTCTACACTCACTGTTTGTTTTATCCTCCCCCTTCATGTGTTCTGGTTAAGGAAAACTAATTCAAAGTCAAAGCTTGGGGGAATGTGGGGCCGGAGTAATAGTAGAGTGGGTAGGATCCATGCGTTGATGAGGCCAACCTAGATTCAATCCCCGGCATTCCATATGATCCCCCAAGCACTGCCAGGAGTAATTCCTGAGCATCTCCAAGTGTGCTAAACAAAAAATTGGGAGAAATTAATTTGGCCCAGATACGCATGAATAGAACATGATTAGAGGTCAATCTAGTTTATCTGGAAGTCACCCATAAAAATTTATCTTTTAGCGCCTAGGAAACTGCAGAAAAAGGTAAAAGCCACTCTTCAGTCTAGGGTTCTTTTCATTCCCAAGATCTTTTGTATTAATCCATGAGTCTCGCTCACATCTTCAGTCCCATCCTGAAACACATACCTCTGGATCTGTGTTTATCAGATCCAGTCGGTATTCCAGGACACGTTGGATTTGAGCAAATAGCAGGTGATGCCTGTGTCCGTGGCTCTGTCTGTGGACTACCACTCAGCTTTCTCCTAGCTCTTCTCACTTGTATACCAGCACCTAGTCTATATGAGCCCAAAGGTCCCAACTAAGATGTACCTTTGTGCAGAATGCGGATTTATCTGGGTGATACTGGGGAGTGACCACCTCTGTGAATATGCAATATAAGATTGTATTTCTTCAGTGAGTTCCAAAATACTCATTTTGTGTATTATGTATCAATAATGCAAGGAAGAGAAAACTCAGTTCAAAGAAATAGGATAATGGCTCATTACAAAACACAAGTTAGGTCAGGCTTTCAGAATTGGTTTATTCAAGCTGCTCCACCACTGTATGACTGGTTTTTCTCCACTCTTTCATCCTGGCTGGCTTCTTTTTCAAGTGAAACTCATGTGTCCAGATTCTTGACTTTGTTCTATATTTTGCGAGAAAGATTCTGATGCTTCCATTGATAGAGAAAATTTCTCAGAGCCATTAGCCTGTTTTTCTCTGTCCCTCAGTATTGTAAGATTTGGCATGAGCAAGAATCCTAATTTTTTCCTATGCTCTGATTTTCTGAAGCCATTGTGTTTGAGGGAAAGAGTCTGAACCTGATAGATTCAGACTCAGGTAATTCAGAGCCTGAGCCTAAACCCAGAATCCTTGTCCCCCATACTGCATGGTCTCTGCATGGTCTCTGTGAGGGAGATGGCCAGTCAGTGTGCCTGACTGACCCGCATGCTGTTTTCTCGAGCTGTAATAGTTTCCAGGAGACAAAAACAGATCATCTGGGAATTAAGGTTATCTGGAGCAGACTCACAGAGATAATCCACAGATTACCAGTGGGTGCAGACACAGGACCAGACATGTGCTCTGTGCGTTCTCAGGAGCTGCCTTCAGGCTCAGAGTGTTTCTGCTTTTCTCCATGCAGATGAGTCCTTTCTGAAATTTTTGGAGGAAAGATAGACCACTGAAGACTGCCTGAACCTGGAATGTTCCTGAACCTGGAATGTTTAAGAAAATTTCACTGTAGATTCCATTTCTCAAAGGACTATTCAGGTTTTCTAGTTCTTTACTGGTCAGTTTTGATAAGTTTGTTTTTTCTAGGATTGTAGTTCTCGAAGTTTTAATATTGGACCATATTCACATTTTTCAAATTACAGGACCTTCACCAAAGAGATTTTGTTGATATATGTGATTTTAATTGCATTAGAAATTAAAACAGAACCCAGAGAGAGAGTACAGTGTGCAGGGCCCTTACCTTGCATGCAACTGACCCGGGTTCCGTTCCTGGAACTGCATATGGTCCCCTGAGCCCCACCAGAAGTGAACCCTGAGCTCAGAGCCAAGAATGAGCCCTTAGCACTGCTATGGCCTTAAAACCAAAAATAATTAACCACGTCTAAGACACTTATTTCTAAAGAAATTATAAATTAACATAATTTTAAAGTAATACATCAAGATTTAAAAGAAATTGTGAAAGCTATCCAGTATCTGGGCTGGAGCGATTGCACAGCAGTAGGGCGTGTGCCTTGCGCACAGCCACCCTGGCCGAGCCGAGTTTGATTCCTCCGCTCCTCTCGGAGAGCCCGGCAAGCTACCGAGAGTATCTTGCCTGCACACCAAAGCCTGGCAAGCTACCCATGACGTATTCAATATGCCGAACACAGTAACAACAAGTCTCAAAATGGAGACGTTTCTGGGCCTGCTCGAGCAAATCAATGAACAATGGGAGGACAGTGCAGTGCTATCCAGTATCTACTTGTACATTTGTTGCATTATACTATTTTCATTGAAACATGAAGAAAAGCTGTATATATTTGGAAAACAAGGGTATTTTGTCTTTTCAGGTATTCATTGATCTAGTTTTGTTACTTCACTAAAATTTAGTGAACAGTAGTTTTTTTCTTAAATTGAAGTAAACATTGAATCATAACGTGTTTGAGGTGTGCCTTGATTATTGAAGCTCAGCATATCTGAATAGAAAATTAAGTTCACCATTGAAAGTCAAATTCTGTCCTTCACCCTACAGATATTCCCTTTCCCTGTTTACCTGTTCTCCTCCTTCCCCTCTGGTAACCACTAATTGTCCTATGGTCTGAAGTCTTGTTTTTGTTTAATTTAAGTAGTCCCTTGGTTTCCTTTGTACCATGTATGAATAAATTATAAAGTGTTTGTCTTTCTTCCTTAGTTTATTTTACTAAGCAGAATACCCTTTAGGTCCATTGTGTTGCAAATGGCACCTTTTTATTTTTAATAGCTGAATATTTTGTTGTGTATACGTGTATATGCCAGATCTTCCTTTTCCATCAGTCATGGCACTTAGGTTTGTTTCCAGTTCTTGGCTATTATAAATAGTGCTTCGATAAATGTAGAAGTGCACTGATGACCTCAAATTTGTGTACTCATATCTGGGGGTAGGGGGGAGACACTCAGAAGTGGAATTTATTTTAAGGAATCTTGCTACTCTTCAGTTTATATTCCCAACACACCAAGTCAAAGTTCCTTTCCCTTCTCTGCACCCCCTCTTCTGGATAATAGCCATTCTCACAGGTGTCAGGTAGTGTCTCTTTGCAGTTGGATTTGTTTGTTTGTTTTTATTGAATCACCGTGAGAACAGTTACAAAGCTTTCAGGTTTAAGTCTTGGTCATACAATGATCAAACACATCTCTTCACCAGTGCACATTTTCCACCACCAAGAACCCCAATATACCCCCGATCCCACCCCTCCCCCTGCCTGTGAGGCAGATGATTTCCACTTCTCTCTCTCTCTCTCTCTCTCTCTCTCTCTCTCTCTCTCTCTCTCTCCCCCCCCCCTTTGATTACATTCATTATTTCAACAAAAGATGCAGCATTATTATTTGGAATTTTCCCCCAACAATCAGACCTACTAAAAAGGCATCGTTAAATAATTTGTTTTCTGTTGCTGATTATAAAGAGCATATGATGTTGATAGCGGCCACGCAATGTCATATGC